CCTGCTTGGCGGTTTGGTCATGCGCCTGTGTTGGGGACCCTCTTCGTTTGGTGCTAAAGCACCTCCCGGCACGCCTCGTGGAGGCGGGGGTTCTAGGTTTTCCAGGTCGAATTCGAGTTTAGTTCACTAAAAACAGTACCTCGCTTACCTTTGGTAGAACGATAGAAAACAGTGTTACCCTCCGAATTTCTGTACTTAATTCGCCGTCCCGTTCTGGAGCGGTGTGGCTTGGCGGTGTGGGCGGAGCCCGGCGATGGCGGTGTGATCCTGGGCCTCCATGCTGTGTTGTCGGGCTCTAAGTAATCGGGCTCGGATAACGATGATAGCGGTGGGGGTCGGGTACGATGGCGAGGTATTGAGGGTGGGCTCGGGGATGAGAGAATTTGAGGAAAGAGTAACACTCGCCCGAAGCTTGTTATCATCCCAGCTTAGAGACAGCATGTTACCATACAGCATGTGAACGAGTTTATTACGAACCCTGCTAGACAAGAAATGTGTAGCCTGAGGGCTGAATGGTTGTGCTGGTGCGAAGCCCTTTGCCGAATTAATGCCGGCATCTCTCCAGGAAAGCACTTGGTCCAGGATATTGGGAACTAGATGTGACGAGCTTCGCTTATTGGGGGTGTGAGGAACGCTTGCTGACCAGGATCCGGAAACAATGCGGTGTGGTTGGGAGGGCTGCCCGGGCTCTTAATAAAATTCAAACGTGCCCGGCATGCCCCTACCCCACGAAACATGCAGTCTGAGGCGAAGGCAAAATCGAAGCAACAAAACACGATCTTGCCCGTGCAAGCGAAAGCCTTTCAGGAAGCTTGGCCTCCTTTGTGGCCACCTTTGCTTTTGCCCTTGGGCGGTGTGGCCGAAAAAGTGGGCTGGCTTTGCTCGGCTTCCGCAAACCATGCCTTGGCGGCCTCCGACATCTCAACATCACCAGTCGTCGGTGCAGCCGGCTTTCCGCCGTACGTCGCAGTTTCATACGACCCGACCTTCTCACCTTCTTTATTGTGTCGCAGTATTCATCCCAAACAAATGCAATCGATTGCACAGCCCGAATTGTGAGATCGAATGGGAAGGGAGCATGCATCGAATTATGCAGGAGGGCTTGGCTCCAATGCTTGCGCCCCTTTCCTTCCATTGAGCCTTTGCCAGCGGAGTGGCCCCGAATCTTGGCGCGCTGAAACGTTTCACGTTCAGCTGCATCATACTCCCATTGGCTGCCCCACATCAGTGCATACCACTGCTGCTCCCAGAGGCTTTCATGCTTCGAACCCACGAAATTCGGAGGCGAAGACATAATCTGACTAAGTTCTTCAGTGACCTCCAGCCTGCCAACAAAGGAGCCCGAGCACTCTTCATAGAAGAGTCTGGCAATCGCGGTGTGATCAAAACGGAATTCCCTTTCATCCGACGGGGACATAATCGTCAGGGATCTCCATAGGATCACTAATTTTTTGCCTTCGGTCTCACTATGCTGATTCAGGACGGAGATAACGACACGCAATGGCCCTTCGAGCTTGCGTTGCCATTGAGGCGTGCTTGGCGACGCACGAATGTGATGTCCTCCAAGCGGGGTGGTTGGCCCCGTATATAGGGGCGTTCCAGCTTGCCCGCCGAAGCGACGAAGGAAAGCGGAGCGGGTGTCCCAGGTCTTAAAATTCAACTGTCATTCCAGACCACTGGTCCTTGCGTGGCACCGTCACTGGATCTGCCTGCAATGCTCCGAACCAAAAGCCCTGGACCTCGATGGCGGTGTGGTCTTGATCTGCAGCCAGGTGTCCACGATTCCTCATCCAGTTCACCACTTCCGGAACTTGGCTGAGCATCCACCCCAGCATGTAAACCCGTTGGTCCGGGGTCATCATCGGTGGCCAGCCTGTCGTCACGACCATCAAGCCTGACAAGTGTTTCTGGGCTGCCCGATTGTCTGCTTGCATAAAGAGCTCGGTCTGTGTGGCAAAGAGCCTGTCACTAAGGGTCTTCATGACAGATTCAAGCTGGACGACCAGGTTCATCATTTCCGGCCTAGCCACCGACTTGTGGAAAGCAGAAATCATAGCCAGCAGTTCCTGCTTGTTGGCCACTGGCTGGGCTAGCCACGGGTCGACGTGGCCAGCCTGATTTATGTCAATACCAAGTGTGGCCGCGGTGGCGGCAACTGCGGCCTGATCCTCCAGCATGATTGGTGCCAACAATCCCGGCTCGCTCGAAGACGCTGCGCCCGATGTCGGTTCGGTCGGTGTCGGGACGGCCGACATATGCGGTGTGGGCGGCCCGCGCTTTCGCTTTCCCTCCTCCTCGAAAAACAGCTTCTGTCTTGCTGCGTTTTCCGGCTTGCTGCTGAGACTGTACCGCGCGTGGTCATACGCACTGAGCTGCTGATTGTCCGACATGGCAAAAGGTTGTGATACGGCGGTGTGGCCCTTAAAGGGACACCAAACTCCTAACTTGCAACGTGCAGCTTGCACCTGGTTAGCCGAGATGCCTCAGATAAGGCGTTACATTTTCTTGTCTTGGAAGGGAAGCAAGCGATCGACTCCATGTTAAAGGCCTTACTTAGTTAGAACGGTGCTTTTTATCCGAAGTCTAGCGACCGTCCACTCCATCTACGCAACCCCCAAACTCGCCACAAGGGGGATTGATGACCACACCGCCCAAGGTACTTGCTATTCGAGTACTAGGCAGGGCTGCCCTCTTAGCCCGTAATTGAAGTACCTGACATGCACCGTAATCAGCATAATCATAAGACAGCATTTGTCGTTCATAAAGAAAGGGATACAACCACTTTGCACAGAAAAACAACTACACCGCCAAGACGCGCACTACATAGGTTCCTTAGACGCATAGTTGGGGTCAAGGCCTCGTACTACTCGCATGTCCCAAACCAGGAGGTGTCCAAAAAGGCCAAGTACCCCAAGCTACCTTCGGATGTTACCGTAAACCTACAGTTCGAGATGCTACAGGAGGTGGCGCCAAAGCGTGCGCCGACGACAAAAAAGACCTCCCTAAAAAGAATCGGGAGCTGTTGGGTGCGAACCCTGCAACCCAAAAGCGATGAAATTCTGAGCGTGCAACCGAAACTTTCGCAAAACGCGACACTCAAGAGTACATGGTTTCGGGGCATGAAGCCGAACGCCTAAAACTAAGCGCAATGAAGATCAACGACATGGTTATTGGCAGGCCCCAAGAAGTAGTTGGGTGTGTTTGATTCCCGACACCTTACAAGAGAGACATGTTGTCCGACATGTTGGCCAAAATGTCACAAGTAAGGATATGTGGCGCAAAATGGACGAAACCCTAAATTCAAGAATGTTGAGCGCGGAGAGCTAAGGAGATGTGGGAGTAAGTAAGGAGATGTTGGGCCTGAAGCCCGAAGCTTGAAAACAGAACATGAGGAATCATCAAGCACGGATCAAAAAAGCCCAACAGAGGCATGGATTTGGGGCATAAACCGTGAAACACGGAAGCTGCTGTGTGTGACGCGCGAAACCCTGACGAGAGAAGAAAATGTCTGAAGCCCGAAACTCTGTTAGCTTCGAGTACGCTCCGAGTGAAACGAACGACAACTCAGTGTAGAGCAGTATGTGCACCTGCTACAGTAAAACAAAACATGCGTGCTGAGCTCAATGCTTTGGTACCCCTGCGCTGTCCAGAAAAAACTAGTTGCGTCATGGTGTTTGGATTTCGCCCAGCAAATGCCAGAAAAGACATTTGTGGATGCCACCTTTTGGTCAGTCGCGACTCGGACCACAAGAGACGTTACACGCGAAGCCTAGCAGCTTCTGGAGCAAGGAAACGTGAGGCGCGAAGTGCGAAAGCCTGCGGTAAGAATATGTTGGGCATGGTGCCCGACACTTCAGTAAGGAGGTGTGAAGCCAAATTGTTAGAGTATCAAGATGTTGAGTGTGAAGCCCGAAACCCTAAAGTATGTGGGCTAGGACGACGTGAGGCCCATGACCGCACCTCCCAACGCTTGCGATCAAGTCAATCGGGTCTCTGCCACCGTATGCTGCTTAAGACACCGGTCATGATGATCGGGCGTCACACTTGTACATGATATTGACCAAAAATCACCCTTGCGAGGAAAGTGGCACGGGGGAATCACAAAACACACGTCAGGCGGAGCCCTTCTTTACACCCGCAAGACAGAGCCGAAAGGCTTCGAGAAGGTTGTGGCTTCTGCCGGTCATGGCACCTGCAATCTGCTGGCTTCACGGCCAACGGACAAAACAAAGGCATGTCGCTCCTGCAAAAGGCTCGGTTTGAGTATAATAAGGGGCGGCCGAGGCCCCCCCGGCAAAAAAGTCAAAAGAAAGCATACGCAGAACACTGCATTTGCAGATGCTCTGGCAGCCCCGCGCGGTCCGAAACAGTGACCAAACTAAACCATGCAAACGTGGGTCAACATCTTTGACTGTTCGGTCAGCGATGTTGCAAAGAAACGGAAAAGCTGGGCATAAAGGCCGACCCTACGATCAGGAGATGTTGCACCCAGCAACAACGGGATTTAGACCCTAAACCCTAAAAAACCTGGACCCTCTTGACCCTAAACCCCAAACCCCCCTCCGCCCCCTCCTATACCCCTCGGAACTCAGCTGAACATGGTTGCGCGTGAAACCCGAAACCCGACGCCTCAAAGCAAGGAGATTTTGGGAATTCGGCGAACCAGCTGAGGGTTCAAGGTTCAGGGAAAAATGTGCCAACAATGCCACAAGCAGATCATATCAAGTAAAATGCGCTTGACCCAGAAATTCAAACTGCGAGCTTCCACCTGAGAATGCAAGGCCCCCCGCATGAAACGAAGGATAAACTTGTTCTCGATTTAGTGCCTTTTCTTTGCAAATGCCATCCGAGGGCCTGCGCTCGCTAATTGTTTACAGGAGCTGCCGCGATTTGTGCCCTTTTCAGCAATGGTGCCGGCCGGGCTGCGACCCCAAAAGGAGAGCAGACAGAAGTGCGAACAGGAGAACACGACGCCCAGACTACACTCAACCTTTCAGAGCCTCGTAGCAAGCCTCTTGCGCTGCCATGTCTGTGCTGAGACGGATCTCCAACGGCTGCGGCGGCCTGGGCAAACGCATGATGCCAGCGGGATCTACGTGAACTCAGATTGTAAATCTTGCGCATGAATCGAAAGCTCCATCCAAAGTATTCCCGAGGTGAGGACAAGGATAGTTCCGGAGCTGGAGAGCCCTTCAAGGCGCCATGATTTTGATGAGTCGCTGTCGCCGGGACCCTGCCTGGTCCTTACTCTGGGACAGGATGTGGTCATGAAGCATCTTGCTCCTGGATGCCAAGACTACCTGCACGGGCGCTGCTACAGAGGGGTCGTCATCTGGGCTTGTGACAGTTGCGGAACACAGCTACCTGGCTACCTGGTGCGCAAGGTACTGCTCATTGCCAGCAGATATGGCGATGTCGCAGAAGAGGCCCTTGCTCTTGCGAAGTCTTGCGAAGGGAGCAACAAAAGCTTGGACGAGACCTGAGTCTGGAGAGCTCGCAGCGCAGACGCCAAGCGAACGCCACCTGCCTGTCTCAGAGGGCCGCCTAGAGTTTCCTAGAGTCGCCTAAAGTCGCCTAGCGCAAGAGCTGCCGTGCAGCGTAAGCGCCTGAACTTCGAAGTCTGGATCCTCTGGTCCCATGGTCGGCTGAGCTAACGCCCCACCCAAACGGACGAGACCAAGCTCCACCTCAAAGCTGTCTCCTACGACCCACTGGCCGAAAGCGCAACTCCTTCTCCGGAACGGCTTGTGGCATTAAGATAATGTGACCCTCTCGTATTTCCTTGCGTATTTACTATGAGCAGCTGCATGAACAATGCGGCAATCCATGCTTCCAAGGAACGGCAGCATGCGATTCTGAGAAGCAGGAGGCTAGGCTTTGGCTCAGGCCCACGAACGCGCTTCGTGGCGCGGCTGCGGCTGCGGCTTGCTACTGCAAGCCAGACTTCTGTACAGGACGGAAGACAGCAATGCTGGTGTCGGTATGCTCTCGGAACATACGCTGTGAAACTGGCACCGTGGCTGTGCCAGGGCCTCGCCTCTCAAGGCCTTGGTGACGAAACCGACGGAACGTGAAAGCGGGCAGTGAGCACAGAGAGCACTGAGGTGTTCGGCGGCCAGCGCCCTCATTCTCCGTCCTTTCGCCTACTCCAGCTCTGGCCTGACGAGGCACGAAGGAAGAGCTGCAAGAGCAGAGGCCCCAAGCATGCCGGTCAGGCTGCCCATCTTGCACCTCCAGACGGAGGGCTGCACCGTCATGTGATTGAAACGCCTCTTTTCCAGGGTGCCTCCAGTGCGCCAGCTTCCACTGGCATCCAGGAGATGGTCTTCTTGTCATCCATCCAACTGACACACTGCAGTGCGGCGCCATTGTCCGAACAGTTTGGCGCACGAGATCCAGCCTGAAGTCGATCTGATACAGAGTCCCCGGTGTTGCGCCGTCCTTCCGGCCGTCGATGAAGAAGTTCAGTCCCTTCCCTGCCTCAGCTCCGGAGTGCAACCTACGAGATGTCGCGCTGCTTTCGTGCCCAAGCAATGCATCCTTGCATCACCAAGTCTTTTGAGGGCTCGGCAAAGTCCGGACCGACGATCTGCTCGGTACTGTCAGCCTTCTTGATGAGGGGGTGAATCACCTCATATGAACATCAGCACAAGATAGCACAAGCATCCATGAGGCACAGCCGACAGGCATTCTGCAACTGGCCTCCAGGTTGTCTTCCGTACATGACAACTGAAACTCTTCGCACAGGCTTTCGCCAAGTTCGATGGTGCAAGTGTACTTGCCGTACCTCGCAAGACTTCTGCCGTAAAATGTTTTCACGTCCCTGTTGCCATCCAGCCTCCCTCCATCCATTGCCTGCATGCTGTCTGTCTGAAAGCGAAAAAACTAACACCACAGCACGACTGCAGTGAGAAAGCAGAATCATCTCGGCTTTGTTCTTGACTCATTTTAGCTTCCATCTGAGGCTGGCATGTTGCTCTATGTCTGGGGGATTTGGATGTCTGCAGCCCGAAGAGTTGACGTAGTTGTTGTCCGTGCCCGGCTAAGATTTATGCCGCCTATACTCACTGTCCCCACTTCGGGCCTTGTAGGTCGCGAATTTGTCCCAAGAGCCACTGATGTACAGCGTCTGCCTGCACATGCGGAGCGGCTTCTGACAGCCCAGGCTTTCTTTGGGACCGCACCCGATGTGCAAAGCCCTCGGAAGAGAGGGCGTCGGCAAGTTGGCCTCAAGAAAAGAAAGGCAAAAGAGGGGCACAGAGCGGCCCTTCCCGTGGCCCAGCAGGCCTTCATGGCCGCCTTGTGCCCCTTCGTCGCGTAGCCGTAGACGTCTGCTCGCGAGTTGGTCCCGCCGAAGCCGAAGGAACTCAGCCCGGGGGCAGCCAAAAGAGCCGCTGCGAGAGCTGCGCTCGCGGCTGAGGCTAGGGCGAGACGCCACAGTACAGACTGCTGAGGCCCACGTCGATGTCCTGAAAGCTGACTCGAATCTCGCTATAGGCACTGGAGCGAAGGGGGCTCTCCGAGCGCGACCTCCGTGTCAAAGTAGACGGGGTACCCTTCGATCGTCAAGTGCCTTTGGCAAGCTTGGGAGACGTCTCAGTCTGCTCTTCGGCTTCACGAGTGCCCGACGGATTGATGATGTTAAAATGGCAGTTTGGCGGTGCCGTGCCGAAGTTGATCATCATGATGCACTTCGTCAGACCGGCGATTCCGGCACCAGCCTCCACATGTCTACAGCTACTCAGTTGTTTGCAGGGCCCAAGCCAAGACGGGGCCTCCAAGTGGGCTACATTGCTCTTCGCACTGGTCTTCAGGATTGGGACCTTGCGCTCATGCCTTCGGGTGTCTCATAAAACTTCTCTCTCGAGCAAGAACACCTTGCCGCTCGCCGTGCTGAGTTCAAGACATCACTGCCATGAGCGCGCCTACTTCAATGGGATCTCCGAGAGCAGTCCCGGTGCCGTGGCACTCTGCTATAGACACCTGAATAGCCATGCAAATTGAGGTCCTCGTTGTGCTGGAGTAATTAATCGGCCGCCGATGCCAAGGATGTTGCAGTGTTTGGGTTGATGCCAGCGAACCGCATCGACTTCTTGATCACTGCCTGGCACATAGAACTTGCGCATCCGACTGCAAGCTGCGCAACCATGGCCTGCTGTGCTGGGCCGTTGGGAGCCGTCAAGCTTGCACTTCTGCCGTCCTCAAGATACTCGCTGTAGCAAAGGATAGCAACGTGTCCCAATCAATGCGACTCAGATATGCCCCGTGACATGTGTCCTGGTTGGTTGCTGTGCCGATAAGCGCCTTGAACTTTACCGGTGCAGGGGACGGTTAGGTCGAACCACAAGCCGGACATGGGCGATGTAAAGGAGTCTAGAGTCTAGAGTCCATCGCAGCGTCTGGGGCAAGTACGCAAACACGCTCTTCTTCATCGCGCTTGTCGCCCTGGTACAGCTTCACGAAAACGCTTCCGCAACCTCGCTTGGACAAAACCACTTCCGGAAACAACAGACCCCGGTTTTCTGAATGCGAATGCCTGGCCTTCACCGCGCTGGTAACCATCGGCACTGCGGTTGAAGGTGAAGCTGCGGCCTGACAGGCAGGAATCGGGTCGGGGCTTGGTCCTACTCTTCCATTGCCCTTCCACATACTTTGAGTCCGCCTTGATGCGAAAGCATTGTGGCCATGCAGTTGCCTGCCGGCTGCCCAGCAATGTTGATGGCTGGGTTGTCAGGCAGCCACTGAGAGCCTATGAAGGATCCAGGTCCCAACAGGGTGTTTACACCCACCTGAGATTCTCCATGTCTCGCACACTAAATGCACTGCACTGCGGTAGGAGTCGAGCAATCAGTGCTTCAGCATTGTCAGGCTTGGGTGGGTCCGAGTCGAACATGCACCTCAGGAACGTTCGCTCACCTCCTGTTTGTTTGGGCGCTGGCTTTTGGGCATCGGCAAATGCGCGGCGTTCATCGCGACCAAGGAGGCCGAGCACGCGGTGTCCTTCGACGTCTGAGACTCTGAGAGCTGCTCTTCGTTCCGAGGCCGAGGTCTGCACATAAGACGAAACTGGCCCGCGGATATCAAATTGGTGGGCAATGCGTGCAGCTGTGGTTGCACAGCTCATGCTCAAGCCTGGCTCGGACGACATTTCGGCTGAAATGGGCCACCACCTCGGTGCCTTTTCTCGCTGAGGCTTCGGCCCATCATTGTGGGGCATATGTCAGGACAAAACCTCGTACTTCAAGTGCACAGCACAGGACCGGCATGCTTTTCGCTTGTGCTGGCCTTGCCCACTCCGTCTGAAAGCTGTGCCAGTCGGGCCCTACCTGAAAGCATGGTGGTCCTTGCAAGTTGTGGGTTGAAGTCCACTGAGCACCATGCATCACCAAACCAAAGACCCATGCGCCGGCCCTTCAGGCCTCGATGAAGCAACATTTCTAAAACCGAAACTCTGCTAAGAGCAAAGCAACACCTAGCGAGATCCAGCGAGCGGGCTGTTCTTGTTGAAGCCCGCAGCAACCAAGCACTCGTAGCCGACCTCCGCAAAGCACCAGTCAGAAAAAAACCTCCAGTTTCATTCCTTACCACGGCCGCACCTCCATGGACATCTTCTGGCCTGGAATCATTGACCTTTGCTGGCCGGCGCGGCGGCATCACCACAATCCCCCCATGCTGCTCCAGGTTTCAGGCCGGGCTTCCGTGTCATCGATACCAAAGAAGACTGGCTCGGGGCAAGATGCTTTTCATGATATTCATCATTATTGCACTACTATGAATGTGACTAAGCTCACGAGCGGTTCAAGCTTCACAGGTCCCTCCCTCTTCTCTTGGACAAAATGTCTGCTTTGCTGGCGGAGGTGGCTGCTCAGCTAGAACAAGTGAAGCTGCAAGGAGCACGACGTGAGGAGCAGCATCAAGACCTCACAGATCGCATGACTCAGTTGGAAGCACGCATGGATGCCCCACAGTCTTCGGCTGCCGTGCTCATTCCGACTCAGCTGCAGCCGCAGCCACAGTCCTTCACAGTGCCGGTAGCACAGGGGATAGACCTCAACGCCCCGGCCACGGTTGGGCAGTGCATGGAGCTGGTGCAAATGGCGATGCAGCAGAAGGTCGCCCCTGCTCTGGGAGCCGTTTACTCCTCCCTGTTCACCTCACAGGTGAGGACCAACGAGCGAGTGAGCAACCTTGAGCAGCAGGTCCGGGCCCTTCGCATCCGCACAGCCTGGGCCGAGAAGGACATGCTCTTTGCTCAGATCGAGCAGGCCAAACGCACCATCGTATGCCGCAACTTCCCCACGTGGCAGACGGAGGCGGACCGGCGCCTCACAGTGGAAAAAGCCCTTGCGAAAGCTGGGCTGTGGAACATCGATGGCATGTGGGACCTGACCACGACACGCCTGGACACCGGCACGCCGGGCAAGCTGGAGCTCTCTGCTACGTCCATCCTCACAGTCCCCTCCCTCACAGTCCGGAAGCGGATCCTGGAGGTAGCGGACAGGGTGTACCCTTGGTACTTCCACCAGGAGAAGCCCACGGAGGAGCACACGGAGCCCGAAGAGGCGAAGGACAGTCCTGAAAGGACGGCGGAGAAGACCACGGCAGACCCCTCACAGGCAGCCGGGTCCAAGGAGGACGCCAAGACCTACGAGTACAAGGGTGGCGGTCCAGTGAAGCTCTCTCCTGGAGTCACACAGTTTGAACGCAGGCTTGCTTCGCCGCTCCAGGGACTCATGAACGCCTACAGGGCGGCCTTTAGCAGGTTCGCCAAGGAGCCATTGGCGCCGAGGTGGAAGACCTTGGCCTTGGTCGACTCCAAGGAGGCTTGGCTGGGCCGCATCGTGTACCGTCGCGGGGTTCCTTCACAGACGACCTCCACAGGAACCCTCACAGACTGGGAGTGCGAGATCCACATTCGGGAGGAGCACGCCGAGAAGCTCTTGGAGACCTGGCGCCGCATCTGGTGCGACCAATTGCGACAGCAGGTCAACCAGACGACTGTCGAGCAGGAAGCTTTTGACAGTGCCGCCCGCCTCACAGCGCACAACTACGCAGAGGCCAAGAGACTCAGCAGGTTCCTGACCAAGGCCATCCCAGAGTACAACGAAGGCGACGACGATGGATTGGATCACTGGATCGCCAGGTTCCGCTATGAGTTCCCATGGCCGGTGAAGTTTGTGCATGTTCCACAGGATGCCGAAGAGAGGACACACTTCACAGGACTCAGGTCCACAGAAGAACTCATGGAACAGATGGCGGCTCAGGAACAGGAGGCTGCCTTCACAGTGGACTCGGAGAGCGGAGGTGTGGGGGCGATGATCGACGTGGTCTCCCAAGTGAAGCGCACTCACAGTGACGCCGCTTCCGCTGTCAGTGGCTTCAGTGCGGCCAGCAATCCTAGCTCTGGGCTTGCTCCCCCACAGCTCACCAAGGCCAGGCCGAGCTACTACCCGTTCGGCTCACAGGTGGAGCTAGAGGGCGCGGTAGAGGAAGCCAAGATCGCCCACATTAACAACGGTGGGGTCCCCACGGACTACCCACAGGAAGCCTGGGAGGCATGGTGCATCAAGCGCCGTGCTGCTGGCTCGCAGTGATGGTCTGGCAAGCGCGCCCTCTCTTCCTTGCAATCTTCCGCAGCAGCTGTGCGACCGCATTTTTCACAGGCTGCTGCCTCTTGTACCATAGCAGACCCAGACCGTACCACACAGCTGGGCAAAAACGAGTTGAACCGTTCTGGCACGCCACCTAAAGGCGAGCTGGGTGCGCTGAGCCACTATTATAACTCTAGTTCTTCTTCACCTCACAGTTTCGCTTTCCCAGGTTGCTCTGAGAGTTGTTCTAGTGTGCCTTTCGGCGACGAAGTGCCCCACAGCCCCCACACCACCCCCTCGGCACCTCCCCCCTCACAGACCCGAGCACAATACCACCAAACAGCACGGCAGCGGCGAGCACGCCGCCGCATCACCACCAGATCTCGCAGCAGGCGGGAGTACAGAGCATGGAGGCATGCTCTATCCACCTTTCCAACCCCTAGTTGTGGTTTGGGCTCCAGAGCTAGGATCAACAACCAAAAGCCTTTATACAACCCCATGCAGACGTTTTCACCGCCTTTTGGCCAAAGCCCCTGATATGCGAGTGAAGAGACACCCCCCGCAGAGCCGTTCCCCCAATCATTTGAGGCTTCGAACAGCGGAGCCTGCCACCACACCAAGTGGCCATTTTGGTCTGCCTGCCTCCCCCACTCAAAACACTTCCACCACTGCCCCTCTCACAGCGGACACTCTCCCCTCCTCCCTTCCCTCACCGCCCAACCCTACCCCCCCCTCACAGCCTCAGTTGCACAGTGGCCGTGCCTCCTGGGTAGACGCTCACGATGCCCAGAATAAGCAACACACACGGGCCCATTGGTTCAAGACCCACTGCCGCTGCCCACAGGAGCACGGCAGACAGAGGCACTCCACACAGTTGCGCTCCAAAGTGTGCCTGAAGGACCACGGGCCTCCTTGAAGCCGGCAAGATCCACACCCTGATCAAGATTATGCAGACGCATGGTCTTGACTGGCTGGCCCTCACAGAGACCCACGTGAAGCAACAGGACCGCTTTATGATCGATGGGTACACTGTCACACACAGTGCTGATGACAAGCTGGATGCCCAGGGTAATCCGGTCCAAACCTTCACGGGAGTGTCATTGATTACCTCCCCACGGCTCACACCTTGCATTCTGGATATCGTTGCCACCGACGGTCGTTTTCTTTCTTTCAAGATAGACACGGCGGAGGCCCCTCTCACAGTGCAGGTGGTGTACGCTCCCCACAACCAACGTGAGCAGCCGGTCCGCGACGCATTTTGGCAGTCGCTGGAAAACATCCTTCACAGACACCCCGCCAGCGAACCTCTCTTATTGGTCGGCGACTTCAACGCGCAACTGCTCGACGAGCTTTCCTCCAATCGTGGCAGCGTCGGACCGGACGCCCACTTTGGAGCGAACGTTGCCGACGAGACCCTAGCCTCACAGGCTAGTGAGGACGACCCACTGTCCAACCACGCACAGCTGTTCGAGATGTCGGTCAGCCACGACCTATGCTTCCCGCAGACGTGGATGGATAAAGACGAGCGACATCGAATGACACACCAGCGTCCGAATGGCGACTTGGTCCAGCTGGACCACGCCGTCACCAAGTTCGCCTGGAAGAATATGGTCACCGATGTGCACACCCTCCCGAACGCTGCCCTCAACAGCAACCACTTCCTCACCAGAGTCACTCTTTCCCTCCACACAGCCTGCCACAAGCGCGCTGCACCCACCCCCAAGCTGACCAGACGCCCTGACGCACAGTCCATTCTTTCCTACAACACACACTTCACGGAAGCCCTCCAGCATCAGCCAGCCTTCGAGGAGCCTGCCTCACCCGAGACAACTGGGGAGGATGTCCCCCCTCCGCCTTCACAGTCGTGCACAGACCAGCAGAGGCTGGACCGGCAATGGAAATCGATTAAGGATTCCATTCTACAGTCCATGGAGAAGCACATCCCCACACTGACTAGCAAGCCCAAGCACCCTTGGATCAGCCAGCAGACGTGGGAGCTCATCGAGCAGCGCACCGCCGCCCGCCAGAGTCAGAACCTGGAGACGGAGCGTCAGCTCCACAAGACTATCCGCTCACAGGCCCGCCAGGACAAGCAACAATGGCTTAAGGATCGTCTTCAGGAGAGCGAAGAGACACTGGACGCCAGGGACAAGTGGCGTTGGATCAAGCGTATCCGCTCGGACTACAGGCCTCGCACTGTCACTCTGCATGACTCCAAGGGCAAGCCCACCAGCTACAGCAAGCAGGCAGACACCTTCGCCAAACACCTGTCGGAAGTACAGTGGGCCCCCCCGCCGGCAGACTACACAGGCCCCACCCACAGACTGACTGATGACAGTCCAGTCAACATGGCCCCCATCACGATGGAAGAGCTCAAACAACACCCTCAAAGGCATGGCTTCGCACAAGGCACCAGGCCCGGACCAAATTCCGTCGGAGGCCCTACATTGGCTTACGCCAGCCAACCGTCAACCGCTCTTGGACCTCTACAACGAAGCATTACTCACAGGCTTGGTGCCGGAAGAATGGTCAACGGCAGTCGTTGCAGAGATTCACAAGCGCGGCACGATGGCGGACCCCAACAACTACCGCCCCATCGCCCTCCTCAGCACCTCTTACAAACTCTTCGCCAGGCTCCTTCAGAAACGCCTGGAGCAGGCGATCGACTCCAAGCTCCGACCCACCCAGTACGGGTTCAGAGCCACCAGATCGACCTCACAGGCGATACACGTGGCAAGGAGACTGTTAGAGCGCGCGGAACGCTGCGGCTCAACCTTGTACGTGCAGCTTCTTGACTGGAGTCAAGCATTTGACAAGGTTCACCCGCAAGCTGTCACGGTGGCGCTAGAACGGCATGGGGTCACGCCGGCGTTTGTCAATCTGATTGGCTCGATCTGCAACAACCCCTCCTTCACAGTGAAGGCGGCGGGGCAACTGAGCCAACCGTCTCAGGCAAGCTCTGGCATTCGCCAAGGCTGCCCACTTTCTCCTTACCTCTTCCTGGTGGTCCACAGCATGATCATGGCCGACGTCGATGCAGCGCTGCAGCAGCATGGTCAGATGCTCCCGTGGCTTTTTAGCCAGAACCAGCCATTCTACGACCTTGCTTACGCGGACGACATGGCCATTTTCACAGGCACCGCGGAAAGAGGTCAGCAAATTCTGCACAAGATTCAGGAAGTCGCTGCCCACAGCAACCTCTCACTGAACCTCAAGAAGTGCGAATTACTTCGCTCACAGCTGGCCGTCAACCACATCCACTTCCTCACAGGAGAGTCAATGAAAGAGGTCACGCAGGCCAAGTACCTTGGCGTCGTCCTCAGCCAGGACTCTTCCAGCAAGGCGGACATCACAGCGCGGCTGGGAAAAGCGCGGAAGCACTTCAATACCCTGCACGCCTTCTGGCGACACACAGGTCTGAGCGTGGCCTGGAAGTTGCGCATCTACAACGCGGTCTTCATCCCAATGATTGTCTCCGGCATGGAATCCGCTGCGCTCACCACAGCTGACTTCACAGGCTCGAGGCCTTCCACTCACAATCCCTCCGCAAGATCCAGCGGATCAAAGCTACCTACTACACCAAGATCCTCACAGACAACCCCAACGCACAGACCATCCGAAACGAAGGCGTCCGAGCCCTGGCCGACCAACCCCCCCTCACTCACCACATCCACAGGGCACAGCTTAAGTTGTTTGGTCACGTTTTGCGAGCAACTCCGAGCAACCTGGAGCGAAACTGTGTTTTTACGAAGGCGTTTGTATATAGAGGGGGTACAGTACAGGCAGGCATTCGCCCGGGACGTCGTAGACTTCACTGGGCCGAGCAGTGTGCAGAGCTAGCATGGCACTGGCTTTCGTACACTCCACACGCCATGACTTCTCTCGCCCCAAGTTTTCCTTTTGCCTTCCTTTTACTTCACAGGCTGGCTGTAAACCGTCCGGCTTGGCTTCAGTTAGTGGGGCTGCCAACGTGCAAGAAGCTCCTCAGGTCTAGAGCGTTCTTTTCCTACTCACAGTGAGTACGCTGACTTGTGTTTGCTTTGCATAGGGCCGCCCAAAAAAAAATGAATGTGACTATTCTACGATTACCATCACTGTTACTGTTCTATTACTACTGTTATTACTGTTACTCTTACTGTCACCATTGCTATTACTAAGACTAGTACTAGTACTGGTGCGAGTACTAGTACTAGTACGAGCGGGCGTGCCCCCCCTACCAACCACCTCTCCAAAACACTGCTTAAGAGCACATCCATCCTACTCGGTACTTACAGTACTTTCGTGGTTTGCATTCGAATACCAACGATGATGATGACGATGATGTTGATGGGTTTAGGCGCCAGGCGGTTGGTAGGACGGGGGGTGCCTACTAATACTAATACTAGTTCCATTGCTGCAACTAGTACGAGTACTATCCCCATCACTGTCACTATCACTGTCACTATCACTGTCACTATCACGACCACTAGTACTGGTACTGCTACTGGTACCGTTACCGGTACTACTACCACCACCACCACCACTACCACAGCCATACTTCTACCATCACCACAACCACTTCTACCTACTACTGCTACTACTACTACTCCTACTTTTACTGGTACAGATACCGTTACTGCTGCTGCTGCCGCTGCTACTACTACTTCCACCACCACTACCACAACCATACTTCTACCATCACCACGACGACTTCTACCTACCTACTACTTTTTCAATTCAACGCTGCGCGAGCGTGCTCTGCGCTTTGCGGGCGACTCCCGCTTTGGCACTCACTAATGGGTTAAAACCGACTTCGGCTCGATTCTGAATGGCAAGCGCAAAAAAAGAACCCATAAACCCACAGCATAAACAAAAACAAGGAAAGGAGCAAAGCCAATCCGAAATGAGCCTGAGCCTAAAGCCTGTGGAGGGCCTGCGTGTGCTCAAGACACTCTTTGGCCTTGACGCGGGGCGGGCCATGCCCACCTGTTGTGGGGTCCGGCCTTCCCGCGCACAGGCACCCATTGTCTGAATTCTTGCCCGCTGATTTTGGGCCAGCACCCACCCCTAAGGCAGATGTCGGCTTCACCGGCGTTCCAGAAAAAGTGAAAAGCTGCTCCTCAGCACGCTTTTGAGGCTGTGCTTGCGGCCGGGCAGCCGGCCTTCAACAGAGGCTAAGCGGCCTGAAATCCGATACGATCATGAACACAGGCTGTGGCAGGCGGCACGAGGGGACTGCCCATGCGAATATCGCAGGTACCTCCTTCATCCGTTTTTGGAGCAAGGCCAGTGGCACGTTTTGCTCCGAGGCCTCGTGCTAGCCACCAACCGTGAAGTAAAACGAAACACAGAAACCGCTAAAAGCAAGGATAAAGGAGAACGAATCCTGATTTCCAAGGCCAATCAGCCCCTATGGAAAAGAGCTGCCTATGGCTTGAGCAGTTGCTTCACTGGACAATTCACTTGACTGTCTTTGCAACCTCCGTCACCCTCAGTGTGAGTCATTGCATCCAATACTCACGAACTGGCCGCCGGTGGGTCGTACTCAGAACAGCCGTCTCCCAAAGTTCCCGTCTAGTGGCGTCCCACACTAGGTAACTCCGGACTGCCAGCGATGGGCCGTCAGGAAGGCTGCTCGTTGACCAAAGCACATAAGCCGTCACTCCTAGCACTGCCTGACCTCGTCAGTAACAGGACAGTAACGAACACAACTGGGGGGGCCGTAGCCGAAGCCCGCCACCCTTGGCACAGCAAGCGCGACCGCTTTGCGACTGTACCCAGATGTGACGTGGAGCCGTACCAGGGTGCTGGGTCAAAGTGACTCTCCGCGACTGTGTCGCTTCCTCCTGCCGTGTAGGTCGGCGCGAAGCACCTAGCTCCAGGCGAAACTCGAGTGTCACACGTAGAGCCGTGCCAGAGGGGAAGCCACTGAAGGGTTGAGAACTCCAACGCTGACCAGCAAGTCGTGCTTTGGTACCTGTTTAGCCACCCAGTGTTCCACGAAAGGAGCCCGACATTGCGTCTTTCCAGCGCGGCGAGAGGCTGTGCCATATGCCGAGTTGTGAGGCTGTGCCTTGAACTGTCTTTCCGCGACTGCGTCGCTTCTTTCCGGCTTCGCTGTAGAGCTCCCAGTCGGCAGACAAGTGTCATGTCGTTCTTTCTGATATAGGAAAAATTGTGTGAGTGCGCTGTAAGCATCAGCGCTGTCCGCTGCTTTCATCAAGAGACCGAAGCCTAATGACTCCCTCCACTGCGCGGAAGTGGAAACCCTACCGCCTACCCAGTGATGCAATGTTTGAAAGAAACACATTCTGGGCCCAGGAATTGGGACCTGGCGGATCAAAGCGGCACCTGTAGCAAAACGGAGAGGCACATGGCTCGGAGTAGGCACAAACCCTTACTGTTCGGAAAAGGAGCCTGGTCGGGACCTCTAGTACAGAAGTTGCGCCCCAAGCCTGTTCGAAAGCCTCTCAACTGCGCGGCCGCTTGATCACTCGTGGCGGCTTACCTACCTACTACTACTACTACTACTACTACTACTACTACTACTACTACTACTACTACTACTACACTTCTCCTACTTCTTCTGCTGCTGCTACTACTACTTTTCCGTGTCCTATTCCTCTTCCTCTTACCCCTCCTCTTACCTTGTACTATGTTATGCTAGGTTGTGTCATGTCATATTGGACTCTGCTATGTTATTGTGTATTGTATTAGGGTAGTATTGTATGACTGGTATTATCTATGCTTTCACGTATGACATCCGCGTGTCGAACCCTCACAGGCTGGGCAGGCCGTTGTCAAACTGAGTGATCTGGTCTTGGCTAACAAATCCACCATGGCCTCAGCGTTGGTGCGTGTTTACATGGGTGGTCTTAAGGAAGATGCCCTCTGAGAACAGAGCAGGTGTACGACTTGCCAGTGGCGATGGAATCGGCGCCCTCCTCGTAGTAGGGCTCTGTCCTGGAATCGACAGCAGATTTGTGGCCTGGCCAACCACGGGGCGGCGGCCAAGTCACTCCCAGCGAGAGTACGGCCACTGTGAGCAGGTGTCCGTGCCTAGCAAGGAATGCAGGAAAATGAAGGACCGAAGCACATACCGTCGCTCCTGAGGAGAACATGGACCAGTATTGGGCTGGAGACCATGCCTGCGCACTCTGCGGCGTGCTCCTGTGCTTTCAATGAACCCCCTCCTTGCTCTCAGCCTCTCCCGGAAGCCGGGTGGTCAAAGCCATGATGCTCGCCTCACTCGTTGCAACAGGGAACTGGTCAGACTCTCGGATGCCCTGGATCTGCCTTCGGTCCATCGGGGACTTCAGGCCCGGGGTTGCACACGACCTGCTACAAAGGCGGGTCTTCGGCGCTCTTCCGCCCTCCGCTCTCATTGCTCTCAACCTCGAGCCTCGCCCGAGTCTCCCATCTGACCCAGGTTCAGATACATCTCTCGAATGGCTTGGGACCTGGCCAAGTGAAGATAGAAAGTAGAAAGCAGAGGGAATCCAGAAAACCCCACAACTTATTGCGGGCTTTTGGAATTGAACAAGCGGATTGCAGCATGCTGCAGACACGCACGACGGTTTCTGGCTGCATAACGTTGCTGGGATGCCTATGTACCGTCTGAAGTATCTTCGCGCTGAAATTGCCTGCATGTTTTCACAATAAGAGCAACCCCGTGATCCCATAATATCACCATGCATTAATGCTAAACACAGTGTACCAATACATCCAGCAGTGGAGTCACAATGCAAAGTAAATCAGATTTCAATGTGGTTCGAGGGAGGTACACCCAGCGTGGTTTCTCCGGGAATGGAGTTGCGTACTCCAGGAAATTCGAACCCATGATCTGGAAAAACGCTGGATCCTGTACTTCGTTTCGACAAAACCCACAAAGCGGAATAACAAGCGCTCATCTACGAAACGGCAACGTGCTTGAGACACGATGCTTTATACACAGGTGCCTGCATGCATATGCCTGTACTGGCTGGATGCTGCTCGTCTCGATACGGCTTTTCAACAAAGTGCCTCCATAGCGGGCATGTACGACGATGTACGACGCTTTTATGAAGTCCCGTACTTCATGAAACGAAACCTCTCGAGTCCTCCACACCTGCAGCCGTATACGTGGCTATCATGTCTGTCCATCCCGTACTAAGTTCACAGGATGCACACTTCGGAAGCATTTGCCCGAAGCAGAGCCTTACGTATCTCTGATCATGGTGCTGAGTATTGTCGTTCTCATAATATCACTAGTGATCAACGGTCGGTCGTGGTGGTCGTCGTCGGGGTAGCGCAGTTGCATTATCAGTACTCGACACTAACGTACCGTCGATTGCCGGATCGGTAGCCTAGTCTTCTCAGACATTGCGACACACATCACCCACACCCACAGACACAGCTGCCAAGCGCATCTGACTGCCGCATCTCAGCACGCGGCTTGCCGATGTCCTGCATGAGCCAAGCCTCTCATGTCAACTCACACATTGCAGTGCTGCTCCCTGGCTGCGCTGGGCTTCCCCGATAGAATGGCAGGTTTCCGAAAGGACTCGTTCTTCGCTGTGCCCCGCAACGGTCCCACTTCGTGGCTCGCACCTGTAGTGCCAAGCTCCGGCCAACGGCCTGTCACTCTGCGACTCACGTGACTTTCGAAATCTGAAAGCATGTTCGTTTTCGCCTGGAAGGAATAATCCATTATGTCGTGGCGGAAAATCAGGAGCTTGTTCGGAGCAGCCGGCACTCGCCTTGGAAATGGCCCCCCTGAAGCTCTGCACATCTCTGCATCTTGGGCCCAACTTGGCCCAAGGCATGCTCCGCTTGCCACCGGACAGGAAGGAACCGTCCTGAGAGCACAGAGCCGAGAGAGCCGAGAGAGCCGAGAGAGCCGAGACACGACCCGAACGGTTGGGCCTGGCCTTCGGGTAGAACCAGACCTCACCTCCGTCGGCCTCAATGAGATGCATCACGCACAGCCTGACGTCGGAGTCGTCTCAGTCTCGCTTCATTGATTCGTGGCTTCATGTGCCTTCTTCGTCGAGAGAAGAAGAGGTACTCCTGCATTCAGAACACAACTTTTCGTTTGCTGCCGTGGTTAAGATCCGAGAGTTCGAGTCCTGAACTGGAACCGTCCAACCCGAATCCGGATCTTGCATCATGTCCCGGACAGACTCGGGCCTCGAGAAAGGTAGGTAGAGTTTGCTCTCGAAACCTATCAAACAACTCAGCTTCCGGCAGGTAATCCTCCTCCTCGTTCTTTGTCATTGACCTGGAAGGTGCTCTTCAAACTCACATGCTGGGAGTGAAAAGAAACTGGGCACCACACACTCGCAGGAGAGGGTTCATGATGTAGCTAAAGCTGACACCCAGCCTGGTTTCTCTGCCACAGTTCGGAGGGTGTGCGAGCTATAGCAGGCTTCAAAAATTTCCACCGACCCTGCAGCACGCCACAGCAGGCATTGCCATCACTAGTTATGCCTGGTTCCTCGCTCACGATAACACGAGGCCAGAATCGCAGCACAGGGCGACAGGCACATTATGGCACAATGGCACAAGCGACCCATAAGTCATTAAGTCGGCCACGTGGGTGTCAAAGGCGCAATTGCAGTTGCCAGGTCCGTGAAGAGCCTTTCACCTGGACACCCCACGAGCCGATGAAGCCAAAGAAGCACCCTCTCTTTCTCCCCATCTCCGAGCTCAAAACTGCCATCGAAGGCTTTGTTGTCGAGTTCTTCATCCTTCGAGTGGGCAAACGAAGCTGGCACGAAGCAGAGACGAGAGTTCTTAGCGCGCCTCCGGATAGTTAAGACCATCCGGGTTTGACTGCTCCTCTCGCCGCTCCTTAAGCCAGGCGACCTGGAGGCTTCGTGGCTACGCGGACCGGGGACCAGACGGGGAGAATCACTTCAACCGAGGCCTTGTTGTTAGAATCAAAGCCCATGTAGCCAGTCTGACAAAAGGCACGTTCAGAACTGTCACAGGCCGTCTTGCACAACTGTCCACCTCCACCTCCTGCTTCATGCGAAAGAAATATCTGTCCTGCTCCTCCGCCCACAAAGCATCGAACTGAATGGTGCCTTTTCTCATCGCATCAGCGTGCCTGCGCACTCCTCCAGGCGGCTTCACGCTCCTGGCATGCTTTATGTGTCCGGCAGAAAAAAAGAAGCGTGGAAGAGCAAAGGCAAGCTGGCCTCGTCGCTCAAGCCAGTTTGGATAACGCAGTAGCCTTTGCTCGCCAGAGCAGCCACAACGACCTCAACCAAAGTCCGCTTAGAACGGAATGCACTGTTGCCAGCAATCAGTCCGCCTCTCCGAAGCGTGACGAGGCATCCTGCAATTTGGTTCGGAGCCCCACTATTGCGGGGGCAGAGGTTCAAAGCAGAAGTGGCGAGAGGAAGCTTTGCGGGCGAGGGTCAGCATCCGGCCAGACGACATCGTAGACGTCGTCGATGCGGGGCTGCAGCGACCTGGCAGGAGTCTTGCCTTTGTGTCATACAGAGACGTGCATGACATCTGACACAAATGCATGCAGTTAACCGGTGAGACTGCAAGACCACAAACTTGCGCGGCAACACTCCTGCTCGTCGTCCCCGGGCAGGGCCACCATAAGATCACAACGTGTAGGTAAGCCAACAACAGGACATAATCCGGAGTATCCAGACTGCGCTATGGAGGCACAAGCATGACTGCAACAGTTTGGACATGCTTGGCCGATAAGTTCAGGCACAGCCTTCTCGAGCCAGATGACATTGATTGAATATCTGAGCTGAACATGCGCCGCAACCAGCAAGCTCCACACTTTTAGTGAACCCTACTTCTGGCTCTCTTAAAAGGGGCCTTATTGAGAGGGTCTATATCCCCAAGGGTCCCCCTAATCCTAACTCCCAAGGCGGCCCCCTCGACTTGCCGGAGAACTGTCTGCTTCGACCAGCGTCAGGAGACGCGTAGCCCTGGGAGCCCATTGCAAGGAACCCCCAAAAACCCTATAAACCCTAAACCCTATAAACCGCAAAAACCCTATAAACCCCAAAAGCCTTGAAAAATACCCAAAAGCCCATAAACCCTACAGTAAACCCTATAAACCGCAAAAACCCTGTAAACCCAAAAACCTTCAAAACCCCCCAAACCCTATAAACCCCAAACTCTAAAAACCCCTACAAACCTAACCTGGGTAGGGCTTTATAGGGTTAAGTGTTCAAGGTACCCCATGTCCAAGAGCCCCACTCCAAGATATGAATCAAGAGCTCCCTGGGAATCATGAGTTTTCTTGCTGTTTCTTAAACTGGGGTGTGCTTTGGAATTTTTTGAATTCCTCACTATTTTGTAGAGAACCATAATAGTAATTAATTTTCAAAGGGCTCAAAGGACAACTCAGTTTCTTGCTGTTTCTTAAACAACAATTGAAATTTCATGGTAACCACAAGCCAGTCACCCAGTATGCCTGCTGAAGCATGCGCTCCCGGTGCCCCGCGGCTCCGCGGAGCCGAAGGCGCGACTGACTCGCGGGCGGAACCTTTAGCGGTGCGGCAACTTAGAGATTTCAATCCCGGGCCCACGGCGCCGCCCTGACCCATCAAAAGCATCAAATGTGTCAAATGGCCGCTCGGGTCTCCCTGGCATCGTTGCCGATGGAGCTTTCGCCCGGCCCAGTCCCCCATCAAAAGCATCAAAAGCATCAAATGCGTCAAATGGGCCATTTCGGGCCAGTTTTTCGGTCTAAACGGCTTTGATACCTTTGACGCTTTTGACGCCTTTGATCCCCGCCGTGGGCGCTCAATGAATCTCTGTCCGCTTCGATCCGCCCAGCCCTGATCCACCCCGAATCCTCCAAAAGTTGTCGGTTGCTGCCTAGGACAACACAACCATCCAACTTAACAACTATTGCCCGACAATGCAACAACATGCTGCTCGTTCTTCAGCCACGAACTGCAAGTTCACAGTTGCCCTCGTTCCATTGTAAAAACCTGCCACGTCCAACATGTATTATATGAGGCTGACTGGCTTTACCTAGCCTTCCAGGTCCGCATCAAATTTGTTTTGGAAAAGCTGGTCGTCCTCCATCCTCCAGCAGCTTTCCATTTGCGACGGGTCTCGAATTCTGAAGTCAGTCGCCTGCCTGCATCCGGGCGGCATTGCCAACACGAGGACCGCCAGAGAGTGCAAACAATCTGTGTACCGACAAGCCAAAGGCTGCGGCCACCGTTGCAAAGTATTGCTGCGCCACAGCTCGGGAAGCAAAAAGTGCTTCGAGCTGAGCACAACTAATTCCAAAAGTCGCTGAAGACTCCACCGGCATCAAACCTCGAAGTCTGGCTGAGGCCGTCAAACTACGGGTAGGACGGGGCGACTCAAAAGACGTAGGCGAGAAAGGGGAGGAAACTGGCGTTGCCTTTTCCCATCCTCCTGCTACTACTACTACTACTACTACTACTACTACTACTACTACTACTACTACTACTACTACTACTACTACTATCACCACCACCACTACCATCACCACCGCTACTACCGATTCTTTTTTCTCATTATGCTCCACGACTCAATCTGCCGTCACCTCTGGGGCGCGCCGGGATTGCCCGACGGTATCGCATACGCGGAAGCCGTCTACTCAGAAGCTTCCGGTTCCTTCACAGACAATTCCGTAAGCACGAAGGCGCTTCCAACAGGATTTTGCCGTGTCCTGTTGACAGTTTGAGGAAGAAGCAGGCGACGAATCACCTTCCTGCAGCAACAGGATGACCACCCAACAAAAACCCTTACAGCGAAATGGGCTGAACGTCCGCGGAACGTGGGCCAAGCCGACCAAGGACACAACGAAGTGTGGCAAGCCACTAGGAAGCCCCACCAAATGTCCGCACACAAAGCATGCGACCTGTCAGCCAATGCATTGCTCGTGTGCCGAAACCATAACACAAACATGCAACGTGACTACCAAGACTCGCGCCAAGCGCGAGTGCAATTTGCCAACCTGTCGTGCGCACGACGAATGCATGCGTGGGTTCCTACCATGTCTGCACTTTCAGGCTTGGGGTCGCGCAAGAGCGACAAGCATTGGCCACACGCATGGCCACACGCAAAGAATGCAAACGATCGCCAGGACCAACGCAGTATAGAACGCGGGCGGCTGTCCAAGCAGCCTAACAACATATTGCAACACCTTGCAATAACTCTTGCAACATCTTGCAACGAATACAGTGTAGGCCAGCCACAACACCAAGCCAACATACCCTGCCCCGATCAACCCCGCCTTGAACACAACATCGGGATCAACACCAGGAAAGTGCAAAGGATGGAACAAAGCTGCAGCGCGCCGATCGTCGCAGAAGTCCACCACCTGTGGACGGAACCACCGTGTGCACCAAAACCACATGGGCCATATTCCAACACTCTCTAACAGGACTTCTCAGCGCTGAGCTCCTCGAGGGTCAGACCTGCACAGCCTGCGTCTCCCTGGATCATGCTGACAATGCTACCTCGGCGTGCCTGACGTGCTCGACCATGTAGATGCATGTTGCGTGCAGAAGCTAGGCTCTACATATGCTATGTGGCCATGTCCATGCTGTACGCTTCACTACACAAGATCGAAGCCTCACAGCTCAGGCATGGAATGATGCATGATCAGATCTACAAGCGCAAGTCTGTCGCTTGTCTTGCTATATCGAGCTTCAGGCATCCAGTGTCTTTTGCGCTCCAGAGAAGGAAGCTTTCAGGCGACTCAGGGGCGGCCCAGCAGCGGTAACATGCGGTATCTCAACTAAACGCCAGATGAGAAACGGCCTCTGAGCCAATCAGAAGCAGCGCTTGCGGCCAGGATCGCCGAGTCGAGTGAGTCGACCATCATGCTCCCAGCGCGATCGCCCAAACGCTCGCCCAAACAGTGCAAACGGTACTGCATTTGGTACAGGTGCCACTGCGGGATCGTCAACTTCCAACGTCTGATGCACTCCTCTGCTTCCATCCGCAGCTCGTGCCTCTTGCCCTTCTTCTTGTTGCGTCGGGAAGTGCCCAGACTTTCAAGCATCTTCCCAAGGACAATCTGCAGGCGTGGCGACAGATGTGGAAAAGGCTCTATGGAAGAAAGGATTCGACACGCAAACGTGCGGTCGGCATTGCTCACCAAATCCCATTGAAGCCAGTTCAGCAGAGTCATTGCATAGCTGCCTCTGACGTACCAGTTCGGTACGCAGTCCAGACACGCTTCCATTAGAACCAGGCACAGCTGCCACAAGTGGTCGTCCTCTCGCGCGTGTCCGGAGAGCCAGTGGACCACCTCAGAGCGGCTCATGAAATCCAGCCATATATGTTACCAGCCATCTTCAGCCACAAGATTGTCTACAGTACTGCAACAACGCATGCCCTGTGGATCGAAGCAAATGAAGCCAAGGAGCATGGTGAATCGATTCCGGGCTTGCCACCCACCAGCTCCCAAGCGCACCGCGGCGAAACAGGCACTGGAGTCCTGTGAGAGCCCAGGGAAAAGCATCCAGGAAATCATTTGGGGGGCGAACATCGGAGAGGCAAATGGGAGACGAGTGAGAGATGAACGAGCAAGGGAGTCCCAGCAGTGCGTGCCAGCACCTAGGCCTGTGGGAGGCAAGTCTGCGAAAGAAGTGCCAAACAAGTGAGAAACAAATGAAAACAACCGAATCCTAGCAGCGCGGTGACGGAGACAAGTGGAAGGCAAGTGAATACTAAGGTGGAGCCAAAGCTTGCAAGTGAACTAAGAGCAGCCGAAGCTGGTTGAATGAACGACACAGAACGCATGGAGGCAAATTATTCTCCGTCCAGTCACGGGCACTTTCGAAAGCACATATCTTAAGATCCGGAAAGTCAAAAAGAGGTTTTCATTTTTGTGATCTTTGATCTCCTGAGTTGTGTTGTCACACATACCCTGGGGGGGGGCTTCCGCCTTCATTTACGACGAGCCTTGTGCCGCGCTGGACCCGCAGGACCCTGACGCTGAGCTCTTTGAGCTCCAGCCAGCTAGCAGAGCCTCCGGCCTGCAAAAGTGCACACTTAATGGCATAAACATCGATCTTTCGCGTGGGTGGGCCTGTCCGACTTGGTCACGTAGACCATGTGACCAACCAGAGCCTGCCAAGAGAAGCTCAGATTGCCACACCTTGCTGTCTTTGCTGCAAAGCCTCCGGCCTTTGTCTGTGAAGGTAGTCGACACACAGCACGGAACTGCACAAAGTCGCGGACCTTGGACGCATCAAACCTACATAAACCCCTCCCGGCTTCCCTGTTTGGAAGATGCTGATGTCGGTTCGAAGGTCTGCACGGTGAGATACGGAACCACCACATTTGTGATGATCGGCCTCGGATTGCTGCAGTTACAGAACGTGCGATCGCGCATCTCCAGCGCAACTAGGAAGCCATGGGATCTTCTTTGCGACAACCATAGCTTCAACGCTCTTGTCAGCCTGGGGAGAACTGGCACCCAGTGCCGTGCAGTTGTCTCTGCACATGCTCAAAGCTACAGCTTCCGGAATCTTCAGTGTAATCCGCCGAGGCCGGAGGCCTGAGGCGTAAAGATCCAAGTCTAGGGAACCACTAAGAAGTGTACCTCACCCCCTACCCCCTGCCAGGCAGCGCGGTCCCAGCCCACATTGAGGCCGAACCCCTCCCTGCCCCTCCCCCCTCCCCTTCCCCCCTACCCCCTCCCCTGCGCTTGTTGCGCAACGGGCGCGCCGCCTTCCCCTCCCACCCTGCCGCCTCGGTACCCTTGCCGAGGCGGCCTCGCGTCGATAAAATTTATTTTGCAGTCGAGAGATAATTTGTCAATTGTTCCGGACAGGGCTACGCAGAACCCAGGTCCTTGCGCCTGTCTGCTTCCAAATGCTGTTGTTGCATACGATTGCAGTCTGGCAGTTGTTTGTTGACTGATTTCAAAAAAAAAAAGTCAACTTGCTTGTTGTGGCAACAGCGGTGACTTGGTTCTGCCCGTGCCTCTGGCTCAGGCGTGCACTCCGCGCACCAGGGGTCCTGTGCACCGAAGGTCCAATTTACTGCCCAACGACATGACATCACCATGACAGCTGCCAGGCACCTGTTCCAGCGGAAGTGGAAGTGCGGACAACGAATGCATAATGCCAAACAAATACAGCCAGCCATACATCTTCCAAGCAAGCTGGGCTTCGACGCAATTGCATCACACACACACACACACACACACACACACGAACACACACACACACACACACACACACACACACACACACACACACGAACACACACACACACACACGCACACACGAACACACACACACACACACACACACACACACACACACACACACACACACACACACACACACCCGCGCGCGTGGTGCTCAACGGCAACAGCGAATTGCAGAACAGTCCTGGAAGCTGTCTCTGGATGGGTCCGGAGCAATAACCTGGTCGCAGGTCGAGCGGGGACAGCGTCGGCGCATGTCTGTGGCTGAGTTGGCCACTACCTCCAGCTCATCCAAACAACCTGAGACAAGCGATTCAAATCTTCTCTATGTCAAGCGATCTAGGAATCTAGGTCATGTCGCCTTCTGGTTGCGGCTGATGGCACAGCCCTCAGTGCAAGGAAGTCAAGATGGCAGCGCGACAGCTGCAAGACGCAGGTTTGCCCAGGTGACAGTCTACACGACGCAAGGGTAAGCACACTGAGAGTGCATCAGCTGAAGCCGCCGCTCCACCACATGACGGCTCGAAGATACTAGCTTTACTAGCTCATGTGTATCTCTGCGTGCCGTTGCGAAATCCAGAAACCTGACAGGAAAAAGTTAAAACTGCGCGTGCGCAAGACTCGGCTACCATTGCTGCTCAAACTTGGAGATGCCTCCCTGCAGAACTGCCTTGCTTCGCGGTGAAGCCCGTAATGTCGCAATGAAGGGCATGGTGTCAGACCGATTCCACCCCATCGGGTTTAACCGTTTAACCTTCAAACCGACGGACTTGGGATGTCCCAAATCACATTCCTGTGGCTTGAGAGTTGTGCGTCTCAACGTCTTGGCTCAGCTTCGCCGCGTCTAGGCCATTTAGGCCGAGACGCTTGAGCCATTTCCAAGCACATCCCACGTGCAAACGGATAGCAAATGCATGGTTTGGGAGAAGCATCCGCAGATCCAGGACTCTCGTCCAGGCAGCCCAAAAAAACCATTCATTCATGGCATAGGTGCGGGCGGGATTGAGTGGGCAGGTTTTGGACAGGAGAAAGGGAGAGCGCGACGGCAGAGACAGTTGATTCCAGCACAACGAACAGACAGCAAGCAACTCAAGAATTGATAAAACAACAAGTAGCACGTGAACACTCATCAATCCGAGGATCCTTTCTGGGGGAGGCAGACCAGGCAAAAATGTCAGATTGAGCGAAAGGGCGAATCAGGTTGGGGAGCACGGAGCCAAAGCCTTCTCAGAGAAGAACATCAGAGACTTGGGGAAACTGACCGAGAATTGTGAACTTTTGCACAACATGCAACTCTAAAATGCGGGCCTCTTGGCCAATTGACAAATGGAGGCACTCTCTCTGGGGAGAGTATTCCAACTTTCCATCCGTGATAGCAACAGGCCTCAGTTCATGGGTCAGAATTCGGTGCTTTCGAGCACTGTCGATTGCGGGCCTGCGATCCGCAGCTCTCACCATCTTAAAAGACTTTAAATAATTTCCAAATCCACAAACGGATAATCTTCAATCGCAATATAATCTCAATCACAAATATGTATATGAAATTCGGTATCACAAAAGTCAACACTGGCAGAAGCTCTCGCGCACTCTTGTTTTATCGTCGATGCCGTGGGGTAGAATCCGAAACGAGTTTCGACCCGTCTCCCCTGACCACAAGGTCACGCTTCCAAAGCGTGGCACAAGAGTCACGAGGACACCCAATGCACGCATTCAACACTTGTGCACCCGTGATATACCCCGGGCGGGTGGGCGGGTAAACAAATCTTTCCCAACTTCTCTTGAGCTGGAAATGTTGTGACATGAGGCAATCAAAGTCATCGCTACAATTGAAGATAATTCCTCAACCGTGTTTCAAAACATGAAAAACCGGTTGTTGTGGAAAGGAAATAAAGTGATAATCACAAGTGATGAGGTCACTTATTTCCAAATCCACAAACGGATAATCTTCAATCGCAATATAATCTCATTCACAAATATGTATATGAAATTCGGTATCACAAAAGTCAACACTGGCAGAAGCTCTCGCGCACTCTTGTTTTATCGTCGATGTCGTGGGGTAGAATCCGAAACGAGTTTCGACCCGTCTCCCCTGACCACAAGGTCACGCTTCCAAAACGTGGCACAAGAGTCACGAGGACACCCAAGGCACGCGTTCAACACTTGTGCACCCGTGATATACCCCAGGCAAAGTGCACTACCTCGTCCCTGCAAGTCAAGCGAGCAGTCTGCCGACATGGCATTCTGTCTCCTCTGCGCCCTGGCTCAACAAGTGCTCGGTGATCCCACGGCTAGGTTCGTCAGAAGGGTTAGAGTAGGTCGGAACCCTTCCAAACCATGGGCGAGCCTTCCATTTGTGCTCGAGGCTGACGAAACTCTGGATTAGAGAGCGTCCATTCTTGGTGCCAGATTTGCCAGCAATCAGAGCGGATTGAGCAGCCTCGTTATCGAGATAGAAAACAGAAAAACTGTCCTGCAGCCAGTGCCCCCAAAGCTTGAAAGCGACGACTGCGGCATACAATTCTACCTCGTATATGGGGTGCTCTGAATCAGCTTCTAAGGTTTGCAAATCATCCTCATGCACATGCGAGCTGAAGACAGCCAAGGGCGTACCTGTGCAATCATACAGCACGCCCCCAATGCCAGCTTTGATCTTCGAAGTCGGCTCGTAAAATCCATCACTGAAGACAAATATCTCTCGTCCCGTAGTCTGTCGAATCTCCAAAGGGCGAGCCTCCTTAAGATATGCTAGCATAGTCTCAAGCGCAGAAACCAAGTCATCATTCAACTCGGAGTGGGTGTCGTGACTTTGTGCCCTCAAAGATATCTGATGCATAGCTTCACAAGGGGATCTTCCAAAGAGGTATGATTTGTACCAGTGCATGCGACCGCGCAGCACCTCCGCATCCTTGGGTTTGAGGGCTCCCTCCTGGAGGACGCTTTCAAGGCTCGAAACGAGCTCCTCGGTTCTGGCCTCGGTGTGTCTGACCCCGGGCGTCCGTGTATGCAAATAAGGCCAACGTTGTAATGTATGCAAAATTGGCGAACGTCGCTCTAAAAATTTGATAACGCTCAAGAAAGTCTGCGGGAAGTCGATGGACGTTCAAGGGGTTTCCGCGTGATTTTGCGTGATTCTGCGTGATTTTGGGTTGGGCTCCCTATAAAATCTGTATACGCTGACGGAGTTCGGCGTGATTTCTCGTGACTCTGCCAACCTGAAAATTCCATGGAATCTAGCCTCGAACCTTGTATGCAAATTTTGCTAACGTTGCCCAGAAACAGGCCTCTGTAGGCAAAAACGGCACACGTACACAAATGTATGCAACATTTGCATGCGTTGGATGCCCAGGGTGATAGTAACGACGCCGTCCTTGAAGTCGAAGGTCAGTCCGAGAGCATTGAAGGATTCCCCGAACTCCGTTGCTTTGCGGCCCTCCTTGGCATACTCGACGCCCAAAGCCTTGAAGACTTCGCTTGAAAGTCCTTCCACCTGAGCTTCATGACCCTCCAAAGCCAACAGGGGAAAGTCATCGAAGTAGGCACACCATCCCAGTCCCAAGTCACGAACTCCTGTGCCACAGCGCTGCAGAAACCCTCAAGAAGCCCGCCACGCTCCCCGTCGCTCCGAAAGGGAGCACGTTGGTGCCGTATATGCGAACGACATTCGAGTCAGTGTCATACACCCCAATGCGAAGATATTTTCTGTCCTGCGGATGAATGGGATAAAATTTGTAAGCGGAGACCAAATCGATCGTTTTGCCCTTGAGCTTCGATCCCTTCGAGACGTCCCTGTTGAGGAGTTCAACGAAGACGCCAGCCAGCACGTCCACACCGTGCAGTGTGAACTTTTCTCGCTCGGTGGCTTTGCGGAGGGCTGCTTGTGCCGCCCAACGTCGCCTCATTGCAGTGCCATCACGACTGAGAAAAGAAGCGCTGACAAAAGGAAAATTTGAGCCTAAGCCGTGCAGCCCGCATGCAAGGTTCAGGCCACAGTCCTTTCCGTTGTCTATCACCCTTACCTTGCCTTTCTGGTTCAGTCCAAACCTGTGAGCAAGGATAATTTCAGAAGGTTTTGCGGCAGCGTCGCGGAAGATCCACCTCCTCCACAGTTTCCGCCCAGGCTTTGCGAGCAGTGTCGTCGATCACCGTCTTCTTGAGACGGTTCATCGTAAGAGAAGTTTGAAACGTCGCGGTAGGCGGCCTAACTCTCTTGTCGAAGATGCCCGTATCCCTCATCCATCCCGTAAGACGGAAACCGTCGCGAAGATCAGACCACAGCTGCTAGTCTTGGAAGCCGTTCTCTTGAAGGATGCACCGCCATGCCAGGAGGTTCTTGTCGCCCAATGCCTTGATCAAGTTTGCTTGGTGTCCGCCTCGATCCGGTCCCAGCGGGCTTTCGTGTCTACAGCAAGCTGCTCCCTCTCCTCACACGTCATGAGAACAGCATCTGCAATGTCTGAGGCCGGGCCCTCCCTGCTAGAACCGAGAGCGTGCTGGGATGTCCAACCTTCACCGCTTCCTTGACAAATCACGCGGGGTTTCCAGAACGCATACTGATCCTTGGAGCAGCGCAGTGCCAATGGCTGAAAACGGTCATCAGAACACCCTATGGGGAAGCAAAGAGCAAGAAAGCCCCCCTTGAGGGGGGTTTGGGGGGTGAACCCTAAACCTTTAACGGGTTCTGAAGAGAGAATGCGGGCCAGCCTCGAAGCAGCGACACCGCATCTCTCGCAAGTCCAAGCTTCCAAAGTCCTTCGCGGTCACAGTGTCTTACCGTTCCCGAACTACTTGAAGAGCGAAGTCCCTCAGCGTTTCACCGGGAGACTGACTTGTCAAGACCGCATGAGCACACCGAATGGTTTCACCATATCGAGGCAGAGCCGGTCTCTTAAGTAACCCCTTGCGTGCGGTGCCGAAACCGACAAACTCTAGACTGCGAACACGTCGGTGTGGCGGGCCGTCGAACAGTATGCAATGTTCAGCCTTCTCTCTCCAGCGGACAAAAGCAACAAAAGCGACGACCAACTCGCGCAACACCACCGGCTGTAGAATTCCTTGAGAGGACAGAAGATCAACTCCATCCTGTGTACGGCTTGCGCCAAGCCGAGGCAGCATGCCTGTACACATGATGAAATTGAACATGAGCTCAAGAAAGGTAACGCCAATGTATCCATGTGTCTGTTGTATGTCAGATGGCCACTCAAGCAAAGCACTCCACCGCTGAATTGCATCGGTATAGTCCCTGCACTCAGACACCAACCTCAGCGCTGTACATTCGCAGTCCTGATCTGCTGTCTGCGTTTGCAGACTGTTCCACCTGGTAGTGATCGCGGAAAATGTCAACTCTTCGGGCGTGTAGGCAAACTGCTGCTCGCGGTTTGCCGCCGTACGAAGGGGTTTAACAATTTTCAGCAACTCAGCCTGATACTGACAGTAGGCGAGGAACCGGTCATGTTGCTCCTGATAATGTGCAGCCACTTCCAAACAAGTTTCTCGAGCCACCGGTAGGTCGTGCTGGCGGGCCGCCTTTGCAGCAGCATCGGCGAGGTGATTGCCAACCGTCGGCAAGACGAGGTCTCGGGGAACATCCTGAACTTGTTCGTGAGCTGCAATCTTCCTGAGCTGCATGCCCTGAAAAAGTGTCTCGGGAACCGACTGGACCAGGTCCGTTGCGAAGTGGATCTGATCTTATCGGCCACATTCTGTTGCAGCTCTCGCGCCAGTTTCAATGCAGTCTGAGAATCACTCCACGTCGTAGCCTGCTCACAATCGTATCCTTGCGCCACCCATGCGGCTTGACACAGCGCCAACACTTCTGCTCTCGAGATGGTTTGCTGGCCGGGAACCACCCCCTGTGCCACAACTGTAAAGCAAGCGGCCAGGTTGTTGCGTTGTTGCCATTGGACTTGTAACCACTCCGGTTCAAACGGCCATGGTCCAGTGTAGACAAGTACAGCCCATGCTGCATGACGAGCTTCCGGGCATGTAGGGTGTGCGCAGGTACCATCTGTGAAGAAGTGAAGCTCACTAGCCTGTACAAGCGAAGGTATGTGCAACTCAATGCGCGGCGGGGCCACAATCTTACGACTTTGCCACAACAGGCGCAGAAAAGGTTCAGACTTGTGGCCGCCCGGAAACGGGCAATGGAACCACTCGGGCGATTCATCCAGTAGGAGCTGCAACAGAGGCGCAAAAGGTTGCTGCGCCGCACTTGTAGCCGGACAATGCAACAAACGGTGGTGTTTGGTGTCCATTGCACCGCAGAACTGGCACTGTGGCGATTGGAGTCGGTCCCATTTCGCCTTAGCAGCACCGGACAACAATGCCCCAACCACAACGCGAGCCAAATGCACCTGAAGACCCTCATCAAATTGCTGCAGCACCTTATGAGTAACCTGAGGCGCAGGTGGTTCAGTAAAGGCCAAGCCGTTACGGTGGGCAATGCTCGTTGGGACAAGTTCACGCCAGGCCTGACGGACCGCAGCTCGTATGGCCCGTGGTGTGCTGGAAAACAGAGAAAGCTGCAGGTGCCCCGGCCCCTTTGCAACGCCATATTGACTGAGGGACCAACCGTTGCGGCTCAACAACCTAGCAAGGACCGTAGCCGGGCCGATCGCCCGCTTCGCGCCGGACTTCCCGGATCATGTGAAGGGAGGTCTTGGTAACTACAACAATATGGCATGGTGTCCACAACGATCCTGGTGTTGCGGGCATATGGAACATGCAGCAAAGTGATTTAGTACCAGATTCGCGCGGTCTCAGGCTTGAGGGTTTTGGGTTCCGGCAGGTTAGCTGTTAGCTACCAACCTTGCAATAGCATCTGATCTGCTGGGTCTGGACTCTTCTTCGGAGTCGTCTCAGGTGGCGACATGGCACGTTCACTGAGCAGCTTTTGCAAGCCCCTAGCTTTGTCGGTGGCTTTGGGCAGGTCGCTTCACTTCTCGCACTTGCTGCTGCCACTCACTGTTGTGTGCAGAGCATGCTGGTGATCTCGGACTAGATCTTCTTGACCGTCGACGTTGCAGCCACGTCGCCGATTTATAAATCCCACATGCAGAGGACGGGCTTGTACATGTACGAAACGTTGATGTCTGCCAGGCCTTGTCGGCTCAGTAGCATGTCAGGGCAACGACGGTATCGACAACTGTCAGCTCCAGCAGTAGGATGCCCACAGTGTCGAACATCAGCTCCGGCGCAGACTTGAATAGCTCCCAGAGCTTCTCCCGCATAGGCTTGTGCAGACTGAAATCATATCTTGCGAACCTTACTAATGCCAGGAAGGCAATTTGGCGACAGAGTCCACGGCGTTGGCGCTCACATGCTTCCAGCGAGGCCGCTGCACATGCGTAGTCGAATCTACCGAGCAAATCTGGCCTGCAGTGCGACAATGCACCGCAGAATTCAATGCGAATCTCATCCCGTCCGTTTCGCAGCAAATGGATAGCATCCTTGACGAAGAGGTGCCTCACATCCTGCATGGCGCCATTCGCAAAAAGGTATCTCGCACAAGCGGCCAGCGCGTGCTGGGCATGCTTGCCAACTGTATCGTAATCAGTGCCGTAGCAGTACCGGCGCAACCATGCAGGAAAAGAAACGAAGAGCTCTGGCCAGGTTTTTCGCCATTTATTGGCGCTTCGGAGGATGGTCCACAGCCCTGCGTCGCATGAGGGCAGGGGCCCATTGGGGCTTCAAGGTTCTAGGCTTAACAGATCCAAAGAATCAAACCGTATCAAGCCACAAGCCACACGCCTGTGACACCTTCTTGCAAGATGTGGGAGTCTTCGCCTTTGCTTCACCAGAAAGACGCTCTGTCTTCCTCTGAGATCTTGCGCGACTCACCAGCCACCACAACAACACCTGGCCTCAAGACGTGCACTGTGCATCACTACATGCTCCTGCATTTCTCAAGCTAAAAGTCAGGGGATGATTATTGATACAATGTCGTGCCTTGCGTTCATCAGGTGAGTGAGGTGCTGCAGAAAAGCCTGGAATCCAGAACCGACGCGCTTAGCACAGTGACAAGGCCCAGCGACTTGTGCACTGCAGATCATCGTGATAAGACAGCTGCCAGCGATCTTGGGCGCCAGCCTTTGCGTGCAATTCTTGGTACACTCCATGGCAAGAAGCCCGAAATTGAGTGTAATCACGCACCTTAGCTGCGTTGACGTGCACCAAGGGCTTTGGCGTGCTTGAATCGACAGCAAGACTGGGGTTCCAAAATTAAGGGCCCCCATTCCCCTAATCTAATGCTGACATTGCTGTATTGGGTGGTCTATATACATATATGGACCCCCAACTTTGAGAAACTAGCAGATAAGAATTGTGGCCGGTTACCGGCAGGTGCTCCGCGACCGCATTTGGAAACCTTAGACCACAAACAGGACTGCCGAAGCAACTCAAATGACACGCCCTGGTGATAGCCATGCCACACGCAGCTGCTAAATAGCACGTGAATCATAATTGTTCACCAATAGAAGTGGTGAAGCTGACGGACCTCATGTTGTGTTCGCACCTGTGACTTGCGCGTGTGAATGCCACAATTGAGCATGTCGGTTTTGAAACCATGGGTTTGCACCATGACAACGAGCAACAATGCGGACACTTTTGTTTCTGTGAGAAAGGCTACTCTTTGAAACGTGGAAGAAAGGCACCAGCATAGCAGTTGCATGTAATGAATCTGCGTGGTCACATGTGGTGTGTCATGTGGTCGAGTAAATATAGCACATGTGACATAGCCAAGCGCACTATTTTTTCAACAAGTCAGATCTTGTATTGACTTGTATAGCGTGCTAAGTTCGTCATGAAGTAGAAAAGCGTAGTACAGGCACTCTGGGAAATGGATGCCTGGACTATATTGTTGGACCATAACAGTGGTAGGGCTCGATCACAGACATGCGCCGTGAGAACCGCAGTTCGTTAGTAATCAATGATTTTTCAATTCGTGCGACTTTGACATGCAGAGGTGATGTCTGATTGCTTCAACATCTGTTGAAACTAAAGGCTTCTCAAGCCTTCCTTCCCACTCTACTCACAAACACACTTTTCTCACTTCGCGGGCTGACTTGCTTAAGCCTTCGTGTCGCGGTTCACACACATGTTTCATGTGTTCTTGTGATTACTCTACACACTCTACTTGGGACTACGTGCACTAGGTTACAAACGAACACCCCGCCTCAGAAAGTTCTTGCGGGTTCCTAGGGTGTTCTTGGAAACTGCTAGGGCTTTCTGTACAGTGCTTTTGCTAGGGACTTTCGTCTCCGTTGTTCTTGGTCTTTTACCTAGCTGCACTCCTGCCCTGTTGCTACTTAGGCCTTCTATGTCTGTACATTGGCCTTCTTGAAAAGCCTACTCTGTATATACAGCTACGTTCTAGTTAGGTCCAGCCTATGGACTCTTTGCGGGGAGGCCCGTACCCCGGTTTCCTTCTGCCCTTACGTAGCCTACGGGCTTTTCTTCTTTCGGGCTTCTTCTCTTTGTTCTTGGCTTCTCCGGCTTCTTGCCTCTTCTGGCCCTTGTGCCTTCCTAGCCTGCCTGTTGTGAAACTTCTTGTGAGACTTTGGAAGGTTGTAGCTTACCTAGGCTTACTGCCCCAGTTTGCTACGTCTATACATGTGCTCACACTTTGTACATGAATTCTTGTGCTAGTATACATCAAGTCTTACGTTGCTTAGCTATGTACATATGTACAGGCGTTCACTGCTTGACCTGCTCGATCATCCCTTCTCGGGATCCTTTCACTGGGTCTGCACCCAGTTCTTGGACTTCTTGCCTTTACCCTTTCCTTTGGGTGTCCACTGGTCCCACTGGTTCTGCTGCGCCCACTCTTCTGGCGACTGCCAGTAGCCTTTGTTGTTCGGGTTCGCGTTCTCGTACCAGTTGCTGCCGTCGTCGTTGGTGTTCCAGTTCTCGTTGTTCCACTGGTCGTTGTACCACCAACCGTCGTTCTGTCCGTCGTCCCAGGAAGGGCCTTTTCCCTTGGTTCCTGTGTTGTCGCTCTTGCCCTTCATGCCGATGCGTCGCTGCACCTCTTCCTCGATCTTCTCGTTCTCCTTGGTCTCGAGGAATTTATCCAATTCCTTTCCGTCTGTAAACCACACGTTGTGTCTTCTGTAGCACTCCGTCACCTTGTTCCAAAGGAGGCGGCCTTTCACCGGAGCGTTCTTGATTCTTGGGGCTCCTTTCTTGTCCTCACACTTCGCGCGGTACTCTTGCGTCTTCTTGTTGAACTCCCACACGTAGCCAAGCTGCGTGAACTCGGCTATGTCGTTCGGGTCGAAAGTGTTCTCTTCTCCTTGGCTGCTTGAGGGCTTCTCTTCTTGGTCTTCTGTCTCTACCTGCTTTGGCCTTTTTCCTTTCTTCTTCTCTTCTTCTTTTGCTTTCGCCTCTGCCTTCTCTTTCTCTTCTTCTGCTTTGGTCTTGTACGCTTCTTCTGTCTCTTCTTCACCTTCGCTTCCAGACAAGGCTGCACCTATGGTTTCCTTGAGGCTTTTGACCTTCTTCTTGTACTTCACGATCTTGTCCTTAGCTGCAAGTAGAAGTGCGTCCACTTCCTGTGAGTAACCTTTGAAGTACTGGTAGTCGTCCTTGAGGCTCTTGTAGTCGTACTGTACTGGAGGTCGTCGAGCTTCTGGTTCCTTACTTTCTCTTCTTGCTTTAGTACTTTAAGCTCTCTCTCCAAGTCCTTCTTTGCGTCGTCCACGTACTTCTTGGCGTACTCTTCTCTCTCCTGGTCGTACCCGACGGTTCTTTCCTGGGCTTTTCTCTCTCTCTTCTCTGCCTCTTTCTTCTTCCTCTCAACCTCTGCTTCCTTTGCTTTGACGTTCTCCTCAGCTTCTTCAAGGGCTGTCTCCTTCTCGCTTAAGACCTTGGCTTGCTCTTGGAGGGTCTCTTGGTCTTTCTCTAACTTCTCTTCTCTGTAACTTTGTCTTCCTTTTCCTTCACGTCCTTCTGCTTCTTCAAAAACCTTTTCACTGTCTCCTCAAACTCTGTCTTTTGGTTTCCGAACTCCTCCTTTTCCTTCTCCAGGCTTTCCTCAACCTTCTTCAACTTCTCTGCTCTCTCTGTCACTTCTTTCTTTGCCTCGTCGAAGGAGTCCACGTCGTAGTTCACCTGAGCGGCAGGAGCTTCAGTCTTCGCTTCGTCTTTCTCTGCTTTCTTCCTCCTTCGGTTCTTCTTCTTCTTCTCTCCACTTCTGCTTCCTGAGCTGCTTTCCTCTTCTTCACCGCTGCTCCTCTCTTCTCTCTTCGGCTTCTTGTGCTGCTGTGGCTTTCTCATCTCGTTCACGACAAACCATGCCGCCATGCACACCATGGCGAGCGTCACCAGGACTTCCAGAAGCGACATGCTTCCAGGACTGCTTGGGACTTCTTGTGGGCTTGCTACTTCTTGAGCTGCGGCGAAAGGTACGTAGGCTGCCTCAGTCTTTCCAAACAAACTCGAAAGTGCAAACAACATGCTGCTTTTGTTCTTCATGATCTTCTCGAGTCTTCTCACCACTTGTGCCTTTTCTTCTTCCTCTCGCTCTTGCTCTCCAACTCTTCCTTCGCTGTTGCACATGCCGATCATATTCAGGAGAAACTTCACTCTTTTCGTGCTGAGAGGCTTTGTTCCTAGGTCTGCTGTATTTTCCTTTGTGCCGACTGCGTGTACAGTAAGCTTGCCTTCGCGTATTGCTGCTTGTAGCCAAAGTAACCGAGTCTGCAAGTGCTTGACTCTTCCTGTTCCTTGGCGGTTTGTGATTCCGCGGCATGCGGAACTGTCTGTGTATGCTTTGAGTAGTACTCGTTCTCCTGTAAGGAAACGAACTGCTGCATGTAAACCTATTCCTTCGCTTGCTGCTCCTGTAAGTGCCATGTATTCTGCTTCTGCTGAAGATAATGCTATTGACTTCTGTGTCCTGCTGTAGCTGTAGAAATACGCACCGTCCAGGTAGAACATGGCGCAACTCACTGACTTCCTAGTCTGCTTGTCTCCGGCCCAGTCGGAGTCGCTGAAAACTTCGAGCAAACGTTCGCGTGGTTGTTCTCGAGGTTCTTGTGGTTCTTGTGGTTCTTCGGCGCGGTGACGTAGAGCTGACGTTCCTGGGCTGTTCCTGTGGTACGTAACGGCGTAGTCTGACGTTCTATAGAGCGCCAAGTGCTCCAACTCCTTTCTTTTGCGTTCCGTTGGCTTCGTCATGGCAGTACTTAGGCTACGTACTGCGAACTGAATGTCCGGACGGTCGTGCGCCACGTACAGCAAAATGCCGACACAACTTCTGTACGTTCTCGAGTGTTCCTCGTCCAGTTCTTGGGATACGTCAGGTTCCTGACTAGCCGGTGTGCAAGGTGAGTTCTTGGCCTTCTTCTTCTCCAGCTTGAGGATCTCCACGAGTTTCTTCACGTACTTGCTATCGCTATGTACTCGTAGTTCATGGTGTTCGTACGTGTACTTCCTTTTGAGAAACTTCACGGTCTCCTCAGAAAAATCCTTTCTCGTAGTCTTCCTCGTTCAGAAGAGGTCCTTCAACTTGTAAGTTCACTTTCTTCTTGAGGTTCTTGAGGATTGGTTCGATGACTTCCTTCTTTCCTGCAAACTGCAAGGCATCTACGTGCACAATGCAAACTGCAACCACTTTTCCTTGCCGTAGAAGACGGTAAAGTGCTGGAACTGCTGTACAATGCTCAAACTTCTCTTCCCCAAAAGTCCATCACAAAAGTCTGACCAAAGACTGGATGCGTCGCGTTGACCTGGCAAAACTCTTCCTAACTTCCAACACCAAGTTCCAGGGCTGCGTTCTTGTTGTTCCTGCATTGCTTGTACGACGTGAGCTGCTTCTTCAGGTACTCGACACAAACAAGGTGTTCATTGAGGGACTTGTAAAAACGCGTCCTTCACGTCGACACTGTAGATAGCCCAATGGTTGGCGAGAGCCAGCATGGGCACCAGTTTTGTAATTCCTGTGCTTGTCGCAGGAGAAAATATATCTTCCCTTTTTCCTTCTGTCTTGTATTCTCTGGCTACTAGCCTGGCACGTCGTTGCCAGCATCTCTGAATCTGCTTGGGCTTTGTTGTTCCTTCTTTGGCTTCTTCAGCTTCAAAACCTGTAGCTTCTCTGAACCTCCAATCTTTCACCAACTTTGTTGTCAACCACTTGTGAAGTTCTTGCTCTGAGTCTACCAGAGGTACGTTCTCAGTTGCTTCCTGAGGGTCCGTAGAAACCAACGAAATAACTCCCATTTTTGTTAACCTCTTGATTTCCTTGACTGTAGCTTCATCATCCAACTTCTGAAGAAAAGCCGGATCCACGTTCGGTGGTCCTTTCTCCTCGTCGAAGAACTCGACAGGGACCTTGGTAGAAACTTCCGTTGGTTCACTCTCTGTCTCCTCTTCTTCTTCTTCCGACTCGTACACAAACTCATCATCTGCTTCGTAGACTTCATCATCATGAGGCATATTGAGGTAACCGTCTGTTTCCTCTGCTCTGTTGACTTGCTTTCGTAGCTTGCTGGGTGAGCTTGGTTCCTCAGGCTCAAGGCTGTGCTTGCTTGCTTCTGCTCTTGGTTCAGCTGGTGCTGAAAGTGCTTCTGCTGAGGCTGTAAGTGGTTCAACTGCTCTGAGTTCCTCCAAAAGGGTATCGTCATCAACTTCAGCTCTTCTTTTTCTGTCTCTCGTCACACTCATGCTGCTGCCTTCGCTTTGTTCCTCTCTGTCTTCAAGTGCTCGCTGCTGCTCTTCACTGCTGTCCTCCGAACTCGGAGGGTCGCTAGCGGCCTCGTCGTTCTCGAGCTGTTCGCGTTCTTCCTCGGCAACAGGGGGCAGGATGCTTAGCTGTGGTCGTTGTCTTTGCTTCTTCTCTGGAAGTACTCTTGCTCCAAGGAGTGGTGTGTTGAGGTTCCAGGTATGGACCTCTATGCTGCTTGTTCTTTTGGAGTCGTACTGTTCTGGTAGTGGTCTCACGCTGCGTGTGATATGTATGCCATCAGGCTGTGCAACGATCCATGTGTCTTGCTCTGTCTTGCCTAAAAATATTCCTGCGTTCCATATCCTGTCACCTTTCCTCTTAATCTTCAACCTCTTCGCCATCACAACAGTACCAAAGGGTACAAGCTTCCCTGAATAGGGGTATCCGTGGATAACTTCCTGTGGCGTTCTTCCTGTGGAGCTGCTCACTGCGAACCTGTTGAGTAGCCAGCAGGCGTGTCTAAACGCCCAGCTTACTACTGCGTGCTCGTGTGGTACTGCCAGCTGTGTTCTTTCTCTGAGTTCATCGAGAATGGTGTTCGCTTGCCTCCGTACTGTTTGTATTGCTCTTTCTGCGGCTCCATTGCTTTCGTGGTCGTAAGGAATGCTTTCCTGCAGTGTTGTAGAAAGTCCAAGGCTGCTGCGTACTTTCTGTACTTTGTCCTTGAGTGCTTTGGCTGCGTTCTCGTTGTCTGCTTTGAGAACGAGGGTGTTGTACCCGAGCTGCGTGGTGAACTGCACGAGTGCTTCCGCGAGATGCGTCGTGCTTCCTGCACCTCCTTTCCTCTTGCAGGGCACCGCAAGAACTGCCTTGCTCCAGCTGTCCACAGCGACAAGAGTCACTGCTGGTGGCTCTTCACTTCCTGTGCTTGTATAGCAAAAGTCAAAACTGATGACGGGCTTCGCGGAATCCGTAGAGCTGCTTGGCTTGCTCAATCCTTTCTTGTGGTTGTCTTCTCGTGCTTTCATAGCAACGCAATGGGGACACCAAGGCTGATACGGAAGGTGCGTCAAGTTGTGGTACGCTCTCTCCTCTTCCGTTGGTTCCTGTGGTGGTGCTAGGTGGTATGCTTGGTGGTGTTCCCGTTGTTCCTTGTGTTGCGTGCTGAGCCTTTCTTCTCTGACTGCTGTGGCGAGTCTCTTCAAGAGCTGCTTCTTGCTTCCTGTTGTTTTCACTCTGTACTCTCTGCAAAGTGCTTGTAGTTCCTTAAGACTGCTTTTCTGCGCTGTGTACTCGACGCCTTCGTGGTAGAAGCTTTCCTCCAAAACTTCAACAACTTCTTGTGGTGCTTCTTGGTCTGCTTGTGCTTCTCTCATCTCTTCGTCTTTACATTCCTCTGCTTCTGGTGGTGCTGCTGAATCTTCCTTCTCTTTGTAGTGCTCTTCCTTCTTCTTCTTTAGCTCCTCTGCTGCAGCTTCTGCCTTTAGGTCTTCAACAACTCCTGGCTTCACACGAAACCTTGTTTGACCAAACCACAGTAAACGGAAATGTTCACGTAGAGGTAGACGGTCTGCTCTCCAGTCGTCGCTGTGTTCATAGATCTCTGTACTGTAGATGCAGTCTCCTTGGGTATACCTGCTGTTCTCGAGATCTCCAAGGAGGACAGGACAGTTGGCAACACCTGTCGGGTCAAACAGTACAGTTCTTGGTACTACGTGGTGACGAACAACTTCTCCTTTCTCGAGGTCCATTCTCCAGTAGTCACGACCATGGCTTTTTTGGTCTGCTCGGTCTCCGGCAGCGTAAGGGTGCCAAGGATCCAAAGTGGAATTGGCTTTGCTGAAATGGCTGTAACCACTTCCTTTTCTCCTTCTGCAAACTCTTCAAAAGGGTCTGCCTTCTCGGAGTACTTTCTTGAAACTTCAACTGCTCTCCATCCTCTCTCTTCTTTCACCAAAGTGCTTCTGTACGGAAAGTGCGTAGGGCTGTACATGAGAGATGGGTTCTCATAGCTGCTTTGAGTGGCGTACTTCACGATCACCATGCTGTCTGTGTTGTGCCAACCAGGTTCTTCTCTGTTCACTGCTTCCTGAACGTGCTTGTTGAGCTGAACAACTGTGCGAACCATCTTGTAGTTGTTGCTGCTGTAACTTCTGCTTCTTGAAGGAGTTTGTACGTAGGCGTAGGCTGCCAAGCTGTTCTTGTGGAGATGCACTGGTATTCTTGAGCTTCCATCTGTAAGGCACATACCTTCTTCTTCGTTCACTCGCAACTCCCAACCTTCTCGAAACAGCTTGCCTATGGCCATCAGCGGGTTGATCACCGAGGCAACGGTGAAGGCTTCCTGGATGCGACAAAAGCTTCCGTCGTCATCAAAGATCAGCATCCTTCTGCCTTCCGTCTTTATTGCCTTTCCTTGTGCGTCCTGAATGGACGAAGGGCGAACCTTCAAAGGGGTTCCTTCCTTATTTTCACTGGAAATGTTAAAAGCTCGAAACATACTCAGAGATATGACGTATTTCGTAAACGATGAAATCTGGCTTGTTCCACTTCGAAATAAGTCCAATCATATAGAATATTCAAAAACTCAATCACTGTAACATGTACTGTGGATCTCACTCGCGCACTCCACTGTTTTCCTTTAAGGTCGCATGGGGCATTCGAAAGATGTCTCAGGAAACACTTCACGACTTCAAGACTTGACTTCCAAGTGAATGCGGCACATCCCGCAACCCCCGGGTGGGTGGGTGGGAGTTTTGAAAATCACGTGCCCTACCTCAGAGCACGAACCTTGCGGCATCACATCGACTTGCTTCAAACAATCATGTGTGATGCTTTCAAGTGGCAAGGCAAAACTTAAATCGAGCAGGATTTTGAAGCGAAGCTACAAAATCCAAAAACCATTTCCGTGAAAATAATACCGTACGCAGGCCGGCTGCGAAGGTGGCTTATTTTCACTGGAAATGTTAAAAGCTCGAAACATACTCAGAGATATGACGTATTTCGTAAACGATGAAATCTGGCTTGTTCCACTTCGAAATAAGTCCAATCATATAGAATATTCAAAAACTCAATCACTGTAACATGTACTGTGGATCTCACTCGCGCACTCCACTGTTTTCCTTTAAGGTCGCATGGGGCATTCGAAAGATGTCTCAGGAAACACTTCACGACTTCAAGACTTGACTTCCAAGTGAATGCGGCACATCCCGCAACCCCCTGAGCACCAGTGCCCCATTCACTTGAAGACCAAAGGGAGAGCACGAGCGAGTAAAGCAGCTGATAATTCGGTCCTGGGCACACCTGAGATCTGTTGTCCTCTGGACGGATTGTCCGCTGGGTTCGACAGCGATGGTACACGATCCAGCCAGCAAATTACTTCAAGATCCTCTTCACTGCAAGCGAAGAAGTCGATTAACGATGCGCAGACCGAATTGTCACTGTGTCCTCGAACAAAGCTTCCAAACACACCTTCGTTGTCAGTGAAAGCCACCACGCCTTTGCGCCCTACGAGCGGCCTGAAAACTTCCAAGGAAATGGCCAGAGCAAGCGCCTCAAGTTCGAAGATTACGGTTTCCTTTTCACGCTCCCCATCCTTGAGCAGCCTGTCCACATGACACTGTTGCAGCTTGTATCCAAACCAACTCAAGGCGGCGCCAGATGAGTTGAAAATCAATCCTCCTAACCCGCAGTAGCCACCGGGCTCGAAGGATGCATCCACGTAGATGTGCACATATTCATCCCTCCTAGCACGCACTGGCCTTGGCCTCGAAGTTTCAAGAAACTGCTTAATCTGAGTTAACCCAAGACGGGCAAGAGGGCTGAGCTCCCACTTGCGTTGTCGAGAGTGCTGTCCTAAGAGCTTAAGCGCTGCCTTTGGGCGACGGCCGAAAACCTGGGAGCTTGCAAACTGAAGCCGACCACGTAGCTTCTCACATTCGCTAGGGTCGAGCTGGCCCGAAGCAAGGGCGCGATCGATATCCTTTAAGGCCTCCGACCGTCGCCGACCGTCGCTTGGTAGTGTTTTCAAGGAAGATGAGACCAAGCTTAGCGTCTCTAAGATTGATCTGGACCCCAAGGACCACACACATGGAACTGTAACTCAGTTCCTTGTCCCGGGATACTTCCCAGCCGATCAACTTGAAAAACATCGTGATCACGAAATCACAATGCTTAGCGAAGGCTGCCCCACAAACGTTCAAGTAGTCGTCGAAATACTCACTCCAAGCGAGCGTGAGGGCTACAGCCCCAAGCTTCCAAATCGCGTATGCTGCCCTGATGAAGCTGGTGACGCTGGCGGTTGATCCGAACGGAAGAACTCGCTGTTTGTAGACCTCACCTTCGCCCCGCTCGACATTGAACAAGATGAAGTAGCTATCAAGCTCGTACGAAGAGTCGGATAGCGGGAGTTGTTTATAAGCGGTACGCAGATCCCATGCCTTGCACACAGGTGCCGCATGCTCGGAGCGACCACTACGGAACCACTCATTTAACCAACACCCCAACATGCCAGCGACGATGTCAATCGTGTGGACACTTATCTGCTCAGTTTGCGAAACGGCAGAATTCACCTGCGACGACAGATAATTGTCGATAGGCCTAATCTTGGGCCCATCCTCGGATTCCCCTTGGCGCACACCAAACCTGTGCGTGAGCGATGCATTGGAGGGAACGTCACTCAAAGCAACGGGTCCTTCCACGAACCCTCGCTCAAGTTCTTTCTGAGTGGCCTTCAGGACCCCTTGGTCAATCACGGGATCGTCGGAGGCCTTGACAGTAGCCACCAGCCGTCTCGCAACCGTTTGGCCCCAGACCTCAGTTGGTCCTCGGACTGCTCCGCTGGTTTGAACCTCCGGGTGAAGACATTGGACAAGGGCAGCTTACCAGTCAAATCAAACCCTTTAAGGATGTCATCCACAAGCGTGACGTCCTCATGCTGAACCTCATTCAGGAGGGCTCGGAACAAAGCCAAACGCTTGGTCGAAAGAACTTCCTTCCGGAACTCAGGCAAATCAGCTTTCAAGGCCTTCTCAACTGGCTCAAGCTCGGACGCAAGAGCAATCCACCTACGAAGAGTTTCGGTCCTTTCCAATGCAACGTTCGCCTCGCCTTGGCGATGGATTTTCTGAACAGCAGCCCTGATCTCGTGCGGGAGAAGAGAGGACAGCTGAGTAGGATGGCCGATGAGCGCAGCTTGTTCAACGAACTGCTCAGGAGTCCGGTACACACCAATGACAGCCTTGGTAAGCCCATCACAAGACTCGGACGTGGCCGCTTTGGAGCGATCTAAGACGAACCCTAAACCCTCCAGGAGCTTGACATGTTCAGACTTCAAGTTCTCCGGTCCTCGAGGCATGTATGCCACGATCACGTCTCTCCGGCCGTTCCAAGGCATTGTATCGTGCAACCTCCTACCGTCAAACCGAAAGCCCTCCGGTGTTACAGGCAAACAAACCCCTCTGATCGACCGGCCACGGAACTCATGCTCAACATCCCCATCTGGGTCTTCCATCCACAAGGATCCCCTCTCGAAGTCCGAAAGGGCTGCCAGCGCATTGTCCGTAAAGGACTCGTTGTTGGCATCTCTATGGGGCAAGGCGGCTAAGTCCCTGAACAGACCCACAGTGCCAAAAACCAATCCAGGAAAGAGGCCTCTTACATTCGAGCACATAGCTTTGACCGACTCGGGATATTGCTTGGTCACAGAGCGGACTCCATTCAGAGGTCCATGCACAAAGCTGCCGGCTTGGAATGACTTCGCTCCCGAGTCTCCCTCCCACCTCAAGGATTCTGATGGAAGCAAGTCAAGCAGCAGACACAGGTCCTTGCGATGAACACGATGTCCCTCGTTTATCAATCTTGCCACACTCTCAGCACAGCCGGACTTCATAGCTTCCCGAACTTTGGGCGCGTCGGGATCTAAACCAAAGCAGCTGTGCGGATTGACACTGGAATCGTGCTGCCGCCTCTTTTCGAGGTCCCAGAAGGCGGGGTAGGGCCTAAACCCAAACTAGGGGGGGCCCCGAGCTCAACCATACTAGCGGGCTTAGCGTCCTCCTCACACCCCTTGGGCAACACATGGGCGCGAAGAACGCGGCTGCCGGCAGGAAATTTTTGCAGCGCTGGAGTGCAAGCAACTTGGGTGCCGGGGCACCAATCCGAGGCAAGCTTGTGGCCGGGACGAAGAAAGGAATTTGCGAGCCTGGAGGGCAAAACAACAGAATGCACAGAAGCAAATTCGCTGAGCAGCGGGGGCACCCGCTTGCGAGATTGGATACCTGTGAATGCTCGCGAAGCTTGCACTGCATTGGTTGTACCAGTAATGTCAGACGGGGGCGCAGCACACCCGAGAGTCAGGAAGTGCTCCTTGAGCAAACTGGCCATAAGCTTGCAGAGGCCCCACGGATAGGCAGTCTCACTTGCTGTGGCCCATTTGGGCCCGACCTTCCCCCAGCCCAAATGGACATGCTTTCCAGAACAAGTTCGCTGGAGCTCACGGAATTTGGGAACATTGTGCACAAGAAGTGTTTCTTTACGACGCATGCCACCATACTCACAGTGATGAAAAATAGTTTGGAAAATATCCCGTCGCTGAAGAAAGTGCTTCCAGTCTGGCAGGAGCCAGAGGTAACTCCGAGCGGGATTCTCACAAGAAAAATGTTTTCCATGCAATGCAAAAGATGCACAACTCGAGGGTAAGGCGGTACAACTCGTTTGCCTTGGTCACCCTGATGGCGTCGAGGCCTTCAAGACCATCCACACCTTCCGGGCACAACTCGCTTCGGAGAACAGGCGGTGCACCTTCAAACCTTATGTCACGGGCTCTGCTTGCGGTACCGCAAGGAGGGGCAAAATGAACGAATTTGACAGCAGGATCTTTGAGGATGCTCCAGAGGTGCTGTACGGCATCAGGACATGTAAGATCAAGCTTCAGAACAGAACAACATGCAGTCTTTGAGACGATATGGTCAACGCCAAATGCGTCGAAACCCTCACGCTTCATAGAAGAACTAAGTCTCCCGCTCCCGCAAAACACTTCCACAACCACTACCTCCTCAAGTGAGAGGCCCTCTAACTTATGGAGATGGGCCTCATCAAGGGCGGACCTGTCCGCGGCGGCAGAAGTTTTGCAGCCTACGCTGGGTGACAGCAGTCACGAGTGATTCTGCATGCTATGGGGCTTGAGACAGCCCGGCTCAGCACACAGGTGGAGGCCCTTTGCACACTTACCTCCGGGCTTGGCATCCTGGCAACCGCACGGCAAGTTGAAACCCCAACACAAGCGATGACCCTTAGGAGTCTGGTGGGTCTTGCCAATCAACTCTTTTGGCACAGAAAAGTTTGTGCGCTTGGTCGGCCGTTTGGGCTGACGCGGATTCGGAGCGAATGGCCGCTTGGGTGGCGGCGGCGTGCCAGTCGTATGATTATCGGCCTTACCGCCACTGGACGAGCTGCCTGCATGCAAAGGCAACAGATGATAAGCGACGCTTGGGTCTAGCAAAATGTTTGGCAGCATCGAATCAAGCGGCAAAACACCACTGCCACTCCTGCGAAGTGTTGTCAAAGTCTCTGCCATCTTTAAGAAGGCGGCACGGTCAGCTCGGATAACCTGGGCGAGGGAGACTTTTGCATAGTCAGGAGGCGGAGATTCCCGAAGCCGCTGTACCAGTGCTTGATGGTACCGATTGGCAACATCAAACGTCAGAATGCCAACGAGATCAAAGGCCAAGGCTCTGCGCCTGAGGGCTAACACCAGGTCAAGATCGCTGTTGATTGCGCATTGAATGGATTGAACCTTTTCCTTGACGGCAACACCTGTGCCGTCAATGACAAGCTCTTTCTGATTCTTCTTAGAGCTGATCTCCGCTCGACGGGTTCCGAACTTTTCGGGAGCCAGCCACACCAGCTCGTTTTTCTGGGCCATGGCGAAGACAATGTCGTACGCCCCATGGGCAACCTCCTCTTCGGCCTGAAAGGTCAATCCCCCGAGACGGGCTTTTTGGCTAGTCAGCCTGTCTTCACGCTCTGCGACATCCAGAGATGCTGGCAGATTGTCATCCGTTCGCTCCACCCTTTGCTTAAGAGCAGAAACAATCAAGGTATGAGCTTCGAAGAGGAGTCGTTTTAGGCCTGCAATAGCCCCTTGACTGGTCCCGGCTGGGAGCAGGGCTGTGACAGCGTCATCCTCCGGCACCTTTCCAGGAGGGACTAGCACAAACGCGAGCTTGGATAGCGTATCCACATGCTTCGCGACCAAGTGGTCAACCTCTGGCTGGGCCAACCCCACTTCTAAGGCCCTTTTTACAAAAGCCGGCTTCGACTCAGTGAAAGAGGTCGCAGCAGGGACGCCAGCCATGGCTAGTTCACCTGATACAAAGCGGGCTCGAGAGAAAACCTTATCACAAGAAGCACTTCGCTCAAATCACCCATGAAGCACTTGCCCACGGCAGGACGCAGCACTTGTACATTGTTCACGCCCCTTCGCAGGCCGCTCAAAACCGCTCAAGTTGCACCTCGCAACCCGAGACTTGCAGGCGTAGCCGGAACCTCCCAGCATGCTCTCTGGTCGAAAATAGAACCACCGCTCAAGCTGCACCTCGCAACTTGAAACTTGCAGGCGTGGCCGGAACATCCCGGCAACCACTCTTCGTGGAACTTCCTGCTTAGTCCCACCTCGGACCGTGGCATAGAAATCAGCGCTTCAAGCTTTTAGCCAAAGCTGCGTTCAGAGCCCCCACATCACGCAGAGGTCGGCTCTTTTTGCAGTTTGTGCATAGCCGAGTTTCTGCGAAGGCACTTCGCGTGATCCTGGAATAGTCAGGCGTTCGCTTACGCCCACAGGTGAACGTCTCACCCGTAGAACCAACAGCAACCGTATGAATGGTCATTGTTTTATCATGTCTCCAATACACAAAATCAAGCTCAGCAAGATTGGACTTCTCAACTGTACAGTCAAACGTGTCTTTCAAATTGTCTACCCAGTCAGAGCCTTCTGGGCCTTCAGAACTTTCGGACTCACTAGATGAGGACGATGACGAATGCTCCTCACCGTCACCTGCCTGCGAGGGCTCCGGGCCGTCGTCCTGAAAGGCATCATCAAGGACTGATTCAGCCGCTTCCTCAGGAGTCAGCGCCGCCGCACGGTAGTGCTTGTCTTCCCCTTCAGACTCCAACACTCCAAAGATTCCAGGCTCACCAATTCCAGGTTGCATGGGCTCAACATGCTGCCACGACTGGTCACTGTTCGGCTCGCCCAAGGAGCTTTCTGCAGGAAGGGGGTCCTTCCTGATAAGACCCGATCTTGTGGCATCAGGAATGAACAAGCTGTCTCTGATTGCTCTGAGCATACGTTCATAGATTCTTAAGGGAGCAGCAAGCTTGTCTCGCATGTATGCATACATGGCTGAACCTTTGAGCGCATGATGGCCCAGCAGTGTCTGGGCAGTTTCATTGACACCAAACTTACCGCACCAATCAAGCGTGGTCGTTTTGAGTGAATGACCGGTCACACCATCAGTGCACTTATTCCCTCGGCTAAGCAAAGCCCGAAGCCAGCCACCGGCCTCGTCAGTCGTTACTGCTCGCTCACTCCAGCCGCCTGCCTCAAGAGGGGCTGGCAGCAACGGTCCATTCTTGTCAGGACTCAACGGCAAGCCTGCAGCCTCGGCGACTGCCACGAATTTCGGCCCCCAAGGCTCATGCCGCACACCGCATATGGGAGCCACTAGAGGCATTGACACTCCTTGCACTGCCGCCTGGTTGGATGTCTTATGTGCCCTGGTGGCGCACTCAAGGTATCCCTGAACATCGGACCCTGCAACGACAGTATCAATGATGAAGTTGCGAACCTTCTTTACATCACTGATGCGGCTTCTGCTGAAAGTGCAAAACAAGAAAGCCCCGCTTGCATATCGGTCCTGCAGGTCCAATTCAGCATCATCAAGGCAAAATTCAAGAAAAGCTACCTGGTCCACAGTCAAGCCCAGGGCTGAAACACGCTCCGGCTTCTGCGATTGCATGAGGCCTCTGAGTCCAACAGACCACGGGTTGAAGAGCTTGGATGCTTCTCCTGCACAACTAATGCCAACCACATGAATGGAGAACCTTACTGCCTCCGTGAAGGAATCAATCGTGCCAGCCTTTGCCTTGATAGACCGCAAGTGCCTTATATACTCGTCAGACTTCTCGGTGCTGAAAGGAAAGGGCGAGGCAAAGGGCCTGTGCTCCTGTAAGTACTTTGCATACTTGAGCATTGAAGCAGCACGCTTCTTCACCGTTGCTTCTTTCTTCCTTCCAAAGAGTTCTCGCAGTGCCTGCATACCTTCTGCCTGGCTCATCCCGGCAAGAGACGAACCGACCAAGGAGACAGAGGAATCAAGAGTCAACAAGAAATGCCACTTTTCAAGGGATCTTTGCCATGCAGCCGCTTCAAGCTCGGCATCTGACGCTTGATTCTTGAAGTTAACACAGCCTACGAAACAAGGTCTGCCGAAAGTAGCTACTTTGACTTTCTTAGCCGCACGGGCTTGCTCTTCAATCGACGCCTCAGCCGTCGAAGGCACAGGAAATTCGATTTTTGGAGGCTCCGAAGGCAACATCTGTTCCAAAGCACCTTTCCCGAAAATCAAATCCAACCCTGGCATCTCCCAAGGCAGTTTCAAAACCTGAGGTTCACTAGAAGAGAAAATAGTTTCGCGGATTGTCTCTTCTAAGCGCGACAAGTCTGGCTTAGCAGCTGAACCCACACCCCCTGCGCCGGATGAAGCCGAAGAGTCGGACATTCAGGCCCAGTACTTAAGCCTCGTCAAGAGGCTGCAAACGCTCAGCAGGAAAGAGCCGGCAGAGCTGAAGCACAAGATACTGGAAGCAATCTCCAAGATGCAGAACGCGTTCAGTCAGAACCTCGAGCCCTAAGGACTCAAGTTCCTGCACTCGAGCGCGCAAGAGAGCCACCTCTTGATGGTAACCCGTGAGATCACCCTGCAGCACAGCAACTTGATGCCTCAGGGCCGGCACCTCAGCAACTTCCCTCTGAAGTTGCCCCAAGGCACGAAGGGCTGCCTCTGCCTGGCCAACGTCCATCTACCAGCCGACGAGGCTTTTTTTGGCGTGAATGGGCCTCGTCGACTACGGCTGTAGCACTCGGTCCCTACAAGCAAACAAACAACTACAAAGCAGAGAACTACAAAACAGTGAGACAAAAGCGAAGCTCTGCAAGCTGCGGCGCACAGGCTTTGCCGGTGGTAGCCGTTCAGCAAACTACGAAGCCTCAGCGACCGATCCGAAGCAACAAAGAGCCGTCGCTCTGAGCCGCCCAAAGCAGCAGGTGGAGCCGAATCCAAGCTCCGGCAGCCGTTCTAGTCTCGACAGACAACGGACAGCCCCTGTGCTTTGTTTCATCACGATCGAGCACACCAAAGTCCAAACGTCCAATGCCTTAGGAAACGGTGTGCAGTATCGTGGCGCAGTTGCCGGCAGACGTTTCCGTCAGACAATGCGCAAAGTCAAAATCGGCAGGTGTGCAGACTGAGCGCACACGGTGTGTCGCCGATGCAATGCACGGTGGAAGCCAAATTGGGTCGCCCAAGGCAGCCGAAGTCATGGTAAGAGTCTGGCCGTGCTGAGGCCAGCATCCACGCGTCCCAGGCTGCTTGGCGAGTGCAACTAGGCCAAACAAGGGTTCCACCAGGCAGCAAAATGCACCCTGCAGAGTGCAATAGAGGGAAGGTGCGGGGTTCTGCCCCTGCCTGCCGTTGAGCATGTCGAAGCCCGAGAAATGACGTTGGCCGGATCCTCGCTCTACGCACTTACCAAGGCAAGAGGGAAGGCCAAACCATGTCAATAACGGACATCGACGTATGTCGACGTGCCGGCAAGCTTAGGAGTCCGAGGGGAGGAGAGCACAGCGCAGGCGCCCCCCCTTGGCCCCAAGTCCAATGGCCCAGAAAGTGCGGCGCGACCAGTTTGCGTCGACCCTGCTCATAGACAACCAGAAGCGGCAAGCACCAAAGGCTGAAACGGATGAGCCTCCAGACCACAATAGGAGGCCAATGCAGCGGGTGAAAAGTTTTGAAGTGGCATCAGCCTTCCAAATCGGAGAAGTGATGAACCCAGCTTGTTGTCGGGCCGACTCCTATGCCGAAGATGAAGAAAGGAAGGAACCACAGCGACGTATGTCGTCGGTTTCACCGGCACAAGCCAAGCGGTGTCTGTGTCGTTGCGCGCAAGTGGCCAAAAAGGCCGGAGCCCGTGGCAATCTAGACAGGGTGTGCGGTCAAGTCCTGCAAGCAAAAGGGGACCGAGCAGCACCGCCCTTTGGCCAGAGTTCCGCGTAGGCCCTGTCTCTTGTATCCGTGTTTCAAAACTGCGCTGCGTTACGGTGTAGTCTCTGCTGTTTCGTTCATGGGGTAAGTCCTTCTCCCCGGTTCCGGCCGGAACTCGCTCCAAAACGCGGCCTAGGAGGCTCAGGGCTGGCTTTTAGAACGCCCGAAAGTGCGCGCAAAGTCCATGCAAAATCTTGCGGGCCATAGCGCGGTTTGAGATCTTTGCAGGCTTAGAAACTTCGAAAGACTCCACAAAGCCTCGAAAGATTCCAGAAAGATTCCAACTGTTTAGCCGAAATTTCACTCGATGCTTGCAATCTCGATGAATTGCAACACACCGATGAGCACTGCAGGCGATATTCCGACGACGCGTGCTGCACTGTTGCGTCGGTGCGACGCTGCCCGTATCGCAATCCAAATCCAGCTTGCAACAAAGTGTCACGAGCAAATTCCGCGCGCGTGTGTGTGTGAGAGAGAGAGAGACCCTCAAACCCAAGACAAAGACATGTGGCGTGAAAACATGCTTTTGTGCAACTCGGCAAAAAGCAAATCAGTCGGTCAACACTGGCCACTAGATCGTAACATGAAGCAACTAAATGCAGGCATAAACCACCGCACCGGCATCAGAGCGTGGCGCCGCGCAGAGCAAGTGATGCGGCGGTAGCGTGTCAACAACTCTGTAGAGCTCAGCAAGCAGAGACTCGCACAGACATAGCATGGCCCAGGAGAACACAAAACAGTTGCCCTGCATCACCCCGGTCAGCGTCTGTGGCCGTGCAAAAGCTTCACAGCTGACTCCAGCATTTGTCTGCACGAAACCGAAAGGTGCTAAGTTTGAGCGAATCTTCAAGCACCAGCCCACACACAGAAACATGCATGTCTGCAAGCAGGATACTCGCAAGTTTGGGTTTGTCGGCCCAAAAGCTTATGCAGCTAAGAGTTGGGATCCAAGCAGCAGTTTTGACAGCATCTCAGCAGCACTCACGCACACACAAACACGTGCGCACACGAGAGAGTCTTTGTGCGCGAGCCTCGAAAACAATTCAAGACAAGATTCTCACGGGCTGGTCAGCATCCGTTGCTTGATGTGCCCTCGTTGCATCAAGCTGAACCAAATTGCTTCCTATATATATATATATACACACACGTGTATGTATATATACATACACGTTACCTGTAGCTAAGCAGACGGAGCTGGCAGGGACTCTGCCCGGGGAAACCTTGAGTTTCAAGTTTTACCCTTGTTCTGGGTGGTTGGGTTTCGTGTTGGTTTCCTGCTGGGATGTGTTTCAGGAAGGTTCTTTGGGCAGGTTGCCAGACGCAGATCCGCTGTTTTGAAATCACGAGGCGAGCATGCACAGACAAGCATTTCTCAGTGACTCTCTTCCGGTATGGTTCTAATGCACGCTTACGGGGACGATGAGAAGAAATGCTCTTCTGCCATAGCGCGGTTTGAGATCTTTGCAGGCTTAGAAACTTCGAAAGACTCCACAAAGCCTCGAAAGATTCCAGAAAGATTCCAACTGTTTAGCCGAAATTTCACTCGATGCTTGCAATCTCGATGAATTGCAACACACCGATGAGCACTGCAGGCGATATTCCGACGACGCGTGCTGCACTGTTGCGTCGGTGCGACGCTGCCCGTATCGCAATCCAAATCCAGCTTGCAACAAAGTGTCACGAGCAAATTCCGCGCGCGTGTGTGTGTGAGAGAGAGAGAGACCCTCAAACCCAAGACAAAGACATGTGGCGTGAAAACATGCTTTTGTGCAACTCGGCAAAAAGCAAATCAGTCGGTCAACACTGGCCACTAGATCGTAACATGAAGCAACTAAATGCAGGCATAAACCACCGCACCGGCATCAGAGCGTGGCGCCGCGCAGAGCAAGTGATGCGGCGGTAGCGTGTCAACAACTCTGTAGAGCTCAGCAAGCAGAGACTCGCACAGACATAGCATGGCCCAGGAGAACACAAAACAGTTGCCCTGCATCACCCCGGTCAGCGTCTGTGGCCGTGCAAAAGCTTCACAGCTGACTCCAGCATTTGTCTGCACGAAACCGAAAGGTGCTAAGTTTGAGCGAATCTTCAAGCACCAGCCCACACACAGAAACATGCATGTCTGCAAGCAGGATACTCGCAAGTTTGGGTTTGTCGGCCCAAAAGCTTATGCAGCTAAGAGTTGGGATCCAAGCAGCAGTTTTGACAGCATCTCAGCAGCACTCACGCACACACAAACACGTGCGCACACGAGAGAGTCTTTGTGCGCGAGCCTCGAAAACAATTCAAGACAAGATTCTCACGGGCTGGTCAGCATCCGTTGCTTGATGTGCCCTCGTTGCATCAAGCTGAACCAAATTGCTTCCTATATATATATATACACACACGTGTATGTATATATACATACACGTTACCTGTAGCTAAGCAGACGGAGCTGGCAGGGACTCTGCCCGGGGAAACCTTGAGTTTCAAGTTTTACCCTTGTTCTGGGTGGTTGGGTTTCGTGTTGGTTTCCTGCTGGGATGTGTTTCAGGAAGGTTCTTTGGGCAGGTTGCCAGACGCAGATCCGCTGTTTTGAAATCACGAGGCGAGCATGCACAGACAAGCATTTCTCAGTGACTCTCTTCCGGTATGGTTCTAATGCACGCTTACGGGGACGATGAGAAGAAATGCTCTTCTGCCCGACGGGCGCTCAAGGGGGCTATCAAGCTCGCGCACATGCATGGATCCGTGAGCGGCGATCTCTCAACATCCTTCCTTGATTCGAGAACGTGTATGTATGTATATATATATATATATACAAACATGTGCGAGTGAGAGAGAGAGAGAGGGAGAGGGAGAGGGAGAGGGAGAGGGAGAGGGAGAGGGAGAGGGAGAGCGAGGGAGAGGGAGAGGGAGAGGGAGAGGGAGAGGGAGAGGGAGAGGGTGAGAGAGAGAGAGACACACACATATACATAGATATAGATATATAGATATATAGATATATAGATATATAGATATATAGATATATAGATATATAGATATATAGATATATAGATATATAGATATATAGATATATAGATATATAGATATATAGATATATAGATATATAGATATATAGATATATAGATATAGATATCGTCAAGACCAGAGCTCTTGCATGCAACCCTTCTTTTGCTCGAAAAAGTCCGGAAGCATCTTCTTGAGCCGATCGCCGGGCTTCTCGAAGAATAGCCGCAGTGGACCGGTCCGCTCTAACATTAGCTCTGCGAGCCCCGTTTCGCTGAAGTAAATGCTGGGAATCTCGAGATTGGGGGTATCAACACGGACCTCGGTGGTGTAGAAGACGGGCAGGGCTCCAAGAACGTCCGGGTGGTTTTGGAAGACATCCAGCGCATCCTCTGCTTTCTTTGCAACGCTGGGCCAGTTTGGGACATATTCGCTGACACATTTCGTCTGGATGCCAAGAACGAGGAGAGAAGCTGCCTCTGTCTTATTGCACTCCGACTTCAAGTCACGAATTTTTCTTCGGTCGTCGGGATCCGGGACCATCCACGGGATCAGGTACTCGATGCCCGGCTCGTCGCGCAGCTTGGACACGACGATCTTACCGCTTTTGAGGGACTGCAGGACTTCCTCTACACATACGAAGGACTTGACATACTCCAACGGTGCAAGAACATTCTGCGTGGAGGTGACGACGACGTTCTGCAAACGACTTGTTGTTGGTCGAAAGCTCGCCCCATGGAACAGCTGTTCGAGTGTGCATTTGCTCTTGCCCAACGCCAGGCGCACAGCACAGTCGAAGTGGACCACGATGTCCTCAAACTTCTTCTCGTTTGTGTCCTCCATGATCGCATCCTGCTCGAACATCTCGTTGATCTGGCCTGCGAGACTGGTTCCGTCACTCTGCGCCCAAAGTTGCAGCATTACGGGATGAAGGATGTTGATGAAGCTGCTGCCACATCGCACGGAATGAACAATACCACGCAGACGGAGGTCTTCAAGTACTGATCGAGTTGTGGAAGCGAGAGGAGACCACCAGTGAATCACCTCGACGCTGTCCAAGGCTTTTCGGTCTCCGAGCTTGGCATGAGTTACCATGGCATGCTGAAGTTGATTCCATGCAAGTGGATTCCGAGGAGGCTTCTTGAGCTTGGAGTACTCCTTTCTCAAAGCATCGAACATCAGCCGCGGATGACCCAGCAGCTGTCGCACGAGTTGACGTCCGGATGGTTCTTTGTCCAGTTCTTCGCGAAGCTCCTCGGGCAGCAGCTGCAAAGCCTCTACAAGTGGCAAACCCCTCAACAGGATCGGCAGCAGCACAGAGCGCCCGGAGTCACTCATCAGCGTCGACATGTAGCTCTCAAGCAGCGATGTCCACACGAAGATTACCGGGCAGTTGCTTGTTTGGAGGAGGGACTCGTCCTGGGCTCCCATGAGGTTGGATACTAGTTGCACGGCCCTGTCTTTGCCAGCAAGAGTCTCGAACTGCCGAATCTCATCGATGCCTACCAGCAGAAGGTCGTCGGCGCCCAAATTCAGCTTCTCTCGCAAACACTGCATCACCTGCTTGAATGAAAGAACGGCCGCGCAGTTTTCTGCTTTCTCCGCAGGCATGCCTGACTGCTGAAGGAGTAGCTTTGAAAACACTTCGGTTGCAGCTTTGCTGTGGTCCCAATAGCTCCCCCCATTGAAGTCCACTGTCACAGCCGCCTTCGCCCCGGTTTCGTCCCGCCATGTCGTGCACATCTCGTGAAGTACTCGAGTCTTGCCTGTGCCCTTTATTCCGGCCGTCGTCAGGATTGCACACTTGTGTATGCTTGACCCGGACTCCCAGTAGTAGTCATCCTGTGACAAGGCCCCCTGGATGTACTCCAGGATTTGATCTTTGGCCTCCTCGCGCGCGATGAGCTGTGGCATCATCGCCCTGGGAGAGCGCACAGTCCAGCTTGGGCAAAGGATGTCCTGCAGTTGGGCTACTGGAGGTTGGCTCGGACTCGACTGTCTTCAATGGGTGGGGCTCACCGGGGACTTTGCCGGAGTTGACTTCGGATAGTCCTGGATGGCCTTTTGTGCATCAGGCACCTGCAGGCTGGGACATTTGGTCAGCTCACCGCATAAGCCCGTCTTTACACCTCGAAGACCCTGCTCGACCTGGACTAATCAGGAAACCGACCGTGGGGCGCGCTGTGCCCGACCCGAACAGCACCAACGCCCGGTAAACAAAGAGGTGCAACCAGATTGGGGAAACCTGAAGCTGCCAAGAGCCCTCTGCTCCGAAAGACGCTCCCGCTCCCTGAAGTGCTGCAAGCCAACACAGTGGAGACAGCTTAACCACAAGGGGATCCTGAGAGGAAAAAAAGCAGCACCCCAAAACGCATCAACGGTGGACAGCGCGAGAACGCACGACGACCAAGAGCCCCAAACATGCAGGACTGCTGCAAACTCAAGGCAACATGCTCATGCACAAGCCCCGGCCGGCACTCGTCTTGCCGGAACCCGCTCGACAAGGTCCGCATGCGAAAAGCACTAAGAACCCAGGTCCCTTGACTCCCCCTCACGGACCCAGCAACCTGAAAGTCGAGCCTCAAACAAAAACAACCGCAACCTGGAGAACGAGCGCAAAGCGAGCGCAAAGCGAGCGCGAAGCGAGCGCAAAACAGGCTGACACCCCCCCACTTCGAGCCTAGGACTGACACCCCGTTCTGAAGCCTCGGCAAAACACAAAGGGCAACCAGATTTGCATGAACCTAAAGCAGCCAAGAGCCCTCTGCTCCGAAAGCCCCCTCCCGCTCCCCGAAGTGCTTCCAGCCAACACAGTGAAGCTTAAAGACGAGGGCCTTGCCGAGAGGAGAGCATGAAGCCAAAAAGCATAACCGGTAAACCGCACGAAAACGCACAACAACCAAGAGCCCGGACATGCAGGAGTGCTACAAGCCAAAGGCATGCCCACGCAGAAGCCTCCGGCCTGCACTCGTCGTGCCGGAACCCCACTGCTCTCAAAGGTCCGCGTGCTGAAGGCAAGCACTAAGAACCCAGGGTTGACTCCCTTGACCTCCCCCTTCACGGACACCTGAAAGTCGAGCCTCAAACAAAAACAACCGCAACCTGGAGAACGAGCGCAAAGCGAGCGCAAAGCGAGCGCAAAGCGAGCGCAAAACAGGCTGACCCCCCCACCTCGAGCCTAGGACTGACACCCCGTTCTGAAGCATCGGCAAAACACAAAGAGCAACTAGATTTGCCTGAACCTGAAGCAGCCAAGAGCCCCTCCCGCTCCCCGAAGTGCTGCAAGCCAACACAGTGAAGCTTGTCGACGAGCGGACCCTTGCTGAGAGGAGAGCATGACCCCAAAAAGCAAAAACGGTTGGACTGCACGAAAAACGCACGACGACCAAGAGCCCCGGACATGCAGGAGTGCTACAAGCCAAAGCCAACATGCTCACGCAGAAGCCCCCACCGGAACCCCACTGCTCTTCAAGGTCCGCATGCTAAAGGCAAGCACGAAGAACCCAGGGTTATCCTTGAGCCCCCCTCACGGACCATTCCACAGATTGGTCTTCGAGATCGACAGGCCGGTATCCGCAGCCAATGCTCTCGTCACCGCTGCTTCCACTATCAAAGCAATGTCTGTCGGAACGGCTTCAACCTGAAGGCAACAACACAAGTAACTGACGCTAGATACGTTTGCTGATGTTTGCTGGCCCAACACAAGCAACGACACGTACAAGCAGAGTTAACAACAAGAAACAACCACACGAATGCTCCTCTCTGCAACCTCTCACGAAAAGCCTCATGCTAAACGCTGCTGTTCAAGCCGGATCGTCCGTGCACTGAAGACGCCAAGAACAAACCGAGAAGGCAGTGTGGGGACAGCTCAACGAAGAGGGGATCCTATGAGATTCCGGTCTGACACGAAAGGCACGAAACCAACGAAACCCATGATGTGACGAGCCAGCTCTGTTCAAGCCCCCGGCCTGGAATCCGCTTGCGGCCGTCGGCGGGGCAGAAACAGCAGCGATGCGCTTGGCCAGGACTTCAGCGGGGCCCATGAGAATGCCAACCGTTCGCATCTTCTCCGCAGTCAACTCCAGGAGCGCGGTGCCCCTCACGTCGTTCTGCTTCAAAATCTCGGCAATGCTCTGGTGCTTGTCGCCGTAGTTCTCCGTTTCCAAGGCCGCCCGGACCCAAGAACTGACCTGCCATCCATGCTCGCAGACCCGAAGCTCAAGCAAGAGACATGCAAATCGCCTCGTCCACTCCAAACTGCCGGATCTGCTCAGCTGTTTTTTGCAGCCACTGGGCCTGCGCCAATGGGCACAGCCTAAAGGATGCTCCAGTCCGCGAGGCTGCACGGACAGCTCGCCTGATCGAAGCCTGCTTTGGCCTGCAGGAGCCACGCAGACATGCGAAGCCCGCACCAGCAAAAACACAAACTCCCCGAAAGTGCCTGGGTCGTCGCCTCTTCCACCTCTTCCACCTCATACTTTGCTGAGGAAGCCTCCAAACATGGACTGACCCGAAAAGACATGTGCTGCTGGCAGAGTTGAGCGTTTGGAGCACCTACATCATAAGCACCAGACAAGTTGAAGCGGGTCAGAAAGGCAAAACATGGCAAAACCTGCTTTTGGGGCCTGGAGTTGCAAAGTGCTGGCACGAACACAAGCTGACTGACAAAGGACATGAGTGCACGCCTTCTTCCCAGTAATACCCTTCTTGGCATCTTCGACCGTTTCAGCGGTCTGTGATGGGACAGCCTGCTTTAGCATGCTTTAGCGTGAGTCACGAGTAACGCAACACGACAAACCTCTTTCTCTTCGTTGTCTTCGGCCTCACCACCATCCAAAGTGCCATCAGCCTCAGCTCTGCAGGACATAAGCTTAACACTGAACTTCTCTCGGTCTCGGCTTCCCGCCTCAGCCCTGCGTGCAACGAGCAAGCTGCGTGCCCATATTCCTGCAGGAACCGACCTCGCTCTGGCTTGCGGATTTTGGGACTCCATGCCATACATCACATCCCACCTTGGAAACGGCACGGCCCCCGCTCCAAGCAAAGCCCTCGCCGTCTGCGTTGCTTGCCTGAAGCTGCTCGCGAACACCTCCTCTGACACTGTTCAAAGCGCCGGTCTTAGGCTCTGGCTGACACGTCAAGAACAGCGCCAGTAGCACCAGCACACGCCTGAGCTTGCGTGATGTTGCTGGAGGCCGGCTCATGGCGGCAATCGTCCTAGCTGTCCTCTTGCTTGAGCAAAAGCACTGCAATCTCCACCTTTTTCAGTTTGACTGCTGGTTCATCCCTCCAAGCCATTATTTTCACTGGGTGAGTTACCTCACGTATGCTTTGTTAGCCACTTCGCTTGTCTTCTTGCTGTTGCTGAATCAAAACAATCGTGACCTGTTTCCGCTCGCACACGCTTGCCAGCGCATCACAGATCGGCCCTGCGTGAGAATTTGTGTTGTGGTTCGTTACAAACATGACAACGTGCATATGCTTTCCTTCGGTGAGAATGTCTTGATTCATCCTGTCCGCGACCGTGTAGCATGCCAAGTGTTTAGTTTGCAACCAACTGCAATTCAACATGCGCAGCAATTGCAAGTGTGGCCTGGCGTGCCCAGGCGGCTGCAAGATGACCCAAAAGTGCCGACAGCGCGAAACGGATGCTGGCAATCAAAGTTGCAACATCACGGCTCCCAGGACTGCCTACAACGCACGAGCAACAAAACGAAAAGGACTGCAACAAGAGCAAGCAAGCGCAAGCCGGCGTGAAATGTGAAACCCTGGCCCCCGGAAGGCCTGGCGTGAAATGCGAAACCCTGGCGCCCCCCCCGGAAGGCCTGGCGAGAAATGTGAAACCCTGGTCCCCCGAAGGCCCGACGTGAAATGTGAAACCCTGGTCCCCCGAAGGCCCGGCGTGAAATGTGAAACCCTGGTCCCCCGAAGGCCCGTGAAATGTGAAACCCTGGTCCCCCGAAGGCCCGTGAAATGTGAAACCCTGGTCCCCCGAAGGCGTGTGTGAAATGTGAAACCCTGGCGTCCCGAAGGCCCGTGAAATGTGAAACCCTGGTCCACTGACCAAAACGCCCCCTGCGGCCTCCCAGATTCACATTCCACGCTGCGGCGCCCCAGATTTCACGTTTCACGCCCCGCTCTGCCCCCCAGATTTCACATTTCACGCCCCGCTCCGCCCCCCAGATTTCACATTTCACGCCCCGCTGCGGCCCCGCAGATTTCACATTTCACGCCCCGCTCCGCCTCCCAAATTTCACATTTCACGCCCCGCTCCACCCCCAGATTTCACATTTCACGCCTCCTGCTGCCCCCCAGGTTTCACATTTCACGGCCCCTGTGGCCTCCCCCCAGGTTTCACATTTCACGCCCGGTGCGGCCTCGCGGCCCCCCCCCCAAGTTTCACATTTCACGGTCCCTGCGGCCTCCCCCCAGGTTTCACATTTCACGCCCCCGGTGCTGCCTCGCGGCCCCCCAAGTTTCACATTTCACGGCCCCTGCGGCCTCCTTCCAGGTTTCACGTTTCACGCCCCCTGCGACCCCGAATTCGGCCCTTTCACACCGCAAGATTCCTAGGCCCTTGACCCTGCCTCCGAGCCAAGAGGTCGAGGACGAAGATACGAGCAGCACACGAGCGCCTGCGCAGAAGGGTCGGGGCTCGGGAAAGGACGGGACTCCTCGACCACGCAGCCGCGAAAAACACTACCGCGAAGCAGAAACCTTTCACTAACCCCACCTCTGCTGGATGCTGTCGAAGAAGCGAAAGTCAGGAAGCGCACCTGATCACAGGAGGGGGCCCGGGGTTCCCGGGAGGGGAGGGGAGGCGCACACACTCTAGATTACGGGAGGGGTGAGGGCAGCAGCACAGGGCACTCCTGACACGTGCGACCAAACCTGGCAGCCTCAGAACCCCTTGCCTGCAACCTCCAAAAAACCCTGAAACCTCTGTGCACCCGGCGTTCGCACTCTACCTCTCTGTGTCAGGATTTGCGTGCTTGCTGTCTGTCTTCGTTAAGTGCGTCTTGCCAGGTCCTTCTGTTGCTAAACGAGTTGCTGCTGTTGCCTGTTGCCACTGCCTGCTGCTCATGCTTCGAGGGAGCGAGCGCGGCACAAGCACTCACAAAAATCGAACGTGTCAAAATCATGCAAAAATCCATGCCAAAAACTCATGCAAAGCGAAATGCGGGCATTCGGTTTAGGTGGCTTCCAAAGTAGGCCTGCTCGCCACAGAGCAGTGAAGTAGGCCTGCTCGCCACAGAGCAGTGACTAAGCCTGCTCGCTCCAGAGCAGTGAAACGTGAAAGAAACTCGTGCAAAACGAAAAAACTGCCGTATAAGGTTTAAGGGTTAGGGAGTATAAGGTTTAGGGAGGGCTTGAGCCGAAGCTGTACACGAAGACTTGAGCCAACAACTGTACAACAAGACTCGACCGCGAAGGGGCGCCCGCTCGGGGGACGACCTTTTTTCCGGGCGGGTGGTTCAAAAGTCATGAGCTGGGCTCAGCAACGAGAAGCGATCAGAATTGCAGCCGAGGCCGGGGTCAGGGCGAGGACCTCGGCGGCAGGCTCAGAAACCCTTCCTTTGAGACACCACCACCTCCGCTACGCGATGCTCAGCCGCCCCAACGGCGAGCTGACGAGGGCCGGGCAGTACTACTACCAACTGATCGGCCAGCCACCCCCCAGTCGGCAGTACGACCGCAACCAGCCCCTCATCCGCGAGGGGCCCAACGATTACATCATGCTCCGGGGCGGCGCCAAGAAGCTGCTCCGCAGCCTCCAGCCCAACGGGAACTACCACTTGACCAAGCTCGGGAAGAGCTTCTTTAAGGACAAATGGGTGGACTGGGTGGTGCACGTGCCCGTCATCATCCGCGGCGTCCGGCGAAACGGCCGGAACCGCGGCATGCCCTACGAGCGCACGAAGCGCCTGCCCGTCAGCGACCTCAACGTCGCCCTGTCCCGGCAGAGCGAGGGCCTCTCGGACTGGAAGTGCCCATTTTAGTGACCATAAGGGCCTGGAAGCGCCCATTTTGAGCCAGAGTTTAGGGCTTTAGGGACGCAGCCACAAAACCCTGAACACTAAACCCCTATTTAAGGCTTTAATGGTTTATTCGCAGTTTGAGCCAACACTTGGGCCACGCATTAGGGTTTTAGGGACACAACTACAAAAAAACCTCTCTTCATGCATTTAAAAATGCATCGGGCTAAGTTGGGGATCATTGGATTATTTTTTTCGTGGTCTATCATATTAATATTTTCTGAGATTTTTATTGTATTTTGTATGGGATTTGCCTATAGTTTTATAGCAACCCGTATTTTTTCAAATACTATATGCGTTCATCTTATGATTTATAGGTTTAGGGGTTTAGGATGGTAGCAAAGCCAAGCAAGTCTCACATGCGAACGCTTGGCATCCTTTTCCTCGAAACTCCGACGCTGCCCCCTTGGAGTTCACGGCTTTGGCAACAAACTCAAGCAGCTGCAGTTGCCCGCTTTGCAGCTGGCAACCGTAGACTTTGTTAGTATACGTCCACCTGCAGCCGCTGCTCGTGATTCGGACTTGATCCCGATAGCAGTCAACAATGGACCGAGGTCACGCACATCCTTGATATCGCAATATTCAGCACCACGACCATGGAGCTTATACATTCGTTGGAGTAGACCCAGTACTCGGTGTCGAAGATCAACAATATTTTGTGGCATGTCTGAAATTTTGGGGCGGCGATCTTCAGCATTCAAGAAGTCACGATACATCTCTGCACTGACGAAGCCTTGCCGTCCAACAACAGTCTTTTCTTTCTCAATAATCTCATTATCAGACATAGTGCTGCTGTTTAGTACCTCCACATGCCAGGTTGGCCGATTCAACAACCAATCGTCTGTAGAAGAGCTTCGTGGAAAATCATCTTGAAAGGGATCCCTCTTGTAAGCGGATGTAGATGCCAGATGATGTAGTTCTTCCTGAACAACGGACTGCGCATGTTCTAAGAGACCGGAAGCCCATTGACGTAGAAGGTGACACAAACCAGAAGCGTTTATATCATCCATGATTCGTTGCTCTTCTGCAGTCACCACGGTTCTGGCAAAGAAGTGATGGAAGAAAGGAGACCTTGTGCCATCAGGTCTCGGCTGTTTCTTCCGTATGCGCCTTGGTACGAAGCTGTCTTCCTGTACACCCGCAACAACATTGCCAACACCGCCACCGCAGTCAAAGCTGTCTTCATGTTCCAGGATGTCTTGTGTGGTCAAGGGCCTTCTCTCCTGTAACTCGTCATGTGACACTGGAGCCACGGGTTGAGATACTCGTCTCATTTTGTCGCAAGGAGTCGGTGCCTGCAAAATAGCCTGCAACAACATTCGCTTCGTCAATGCACGTTCATGTGATGCCTCGGCATCACTGAATAACGTTTTCCCACGCAATTCAGCAACTCGGCGCTCAGCTTCGTTCTCCTGTTCTGTGTCACGTAGCAGCGCCTGTAAGTCTGGCAACTGCGCAGGTTCGTCCGACATGGCACCCTGCGGTACTCCTGACTCTTACTTATCCCAAACCTTTCTGGGTCAAGACGTGCGTGCTTGCAACATGTCATGATTGGCACCCTGCGGTACTCCTGACTCTTACTTATCCTAAACCTTTCTGGGTCAAGACGTGCGTGCTTGCAACATGTCATGATGTAATACCCAGTTCACCTCGAATGGAGCTTTGCCAACTCAATGTCAAGGTCCGTGAAAATCCATGCCAACTCAATGTCAAGGTCCGTGAAAATCCATCTCGTGGCTAGGTCTCGAGGAAAACGCTCAGTTTCACATGTTTACGGGCCCCCTTCGGTCTCACATCTCCACGGGCCTCGTGGCTAGGTCTCGAGGAAAACGCTCAGTTTCACATGTTTACGGGCCCCCTTCGGTCTCACATTTCCACGGGCCTCGGGCTAGGTCTCGAGGAAAACGCTCAGTTTCACATGTTTACGGGCCCCCTTCGGTCTCACATTTCCACGGGCCTCGTGGCTAGGTCTCGAGGAAAACGCTCAGTTTCACATGTCCATGGGCCCCCTTCGGTCTCACATTTCCACGGGCCTCGTGGCTAGGTCTCGAGGAAAACGCTCAGTTCCCAAGCGGCCCGGAACCTCAAGGCGTCCGTGCTCGCGCAGCTCGGCAATCCCGAGCCGAACGACATCATCCTGGAGCTGTCCGACGAGACCTACTACCTGG